GATGCAACAGGGAAGAGGGGGAAGTCCCTATTCTGGTGATATTGAATACTTTTGGATCTTGGCCAATGATAACAACATCATTCTGAAAGCTTATGATCTAGCATCCATGTTAAAACAAGTCTATACTTGTTCAAAACCTTGGAAATCTTGGGACATACCAGTGATGTTCTGTGGAAGAAAGTTGTCAGAATAAAAATGTAGCCAAGTAATGTGGGATATAAGGATCTTTGGCTCTGTCTTACAATATGGTAGTATGTAATCATCACTTTTCTAAACCCTTATCCAATCAAGAGTTATGATGAAACATGCTACTCCTCTGGGAGCTAAGACTGGAATCCTGTTGGTGCATGATTCCACTAGCACATGTACTTTTTCTAGGGCCATGCAGGAGCAATAGAAAGGGAAGCCAAAGCATGGAATCATGTTATTGAACTATGATTGTGCAAAATGGACTTACATGATCACAACTCACTTTCTGGGTCATTGCAGAGGCTGAACCTCTTTACTGACCATGCAATGATCAAACCCCCATTCAGCACTTGTTGAAGAGTGGGAGGATCAGTGCAGATGTGTCCAGCTATTCTTCCTGCAGCTGGAGAAGTGGCAAGGATAACCTCTACAGCAATGGTTCTCAACCTGTGGGTCCCCAGGTATTTTGGCCTACCATTCCCAGAAATCCCAGCAAATTTACCAACTGTTAGGGCTTCTGGGTGTTGAAAGCCAAAACATATGGGGACCCACAGGTTGAGAACCACTGATCTACAGATACCTCATGGGGACCATGTCAGAAGTCTCTGTGGATGACTCTCAGAAAGCATTGCGCTCTAGGAAAAAAGCTGGATGCATCTCTGCTGGTCCCCACTTTCTGCAATGACATAGATATGGCTGTTGGGGTGGAGCGGGGCTCTGGAGCAGTAGAAGACATATGGTAGTTATCCTACACATACTGTGTTTCCCAAAAAATAAGACACTGTCTTATATTTATTTTTCCTCCAGAAGACACACTATGGCTTAGTTTCAGGTGATGTGTTATTTTTATTAAGTACGGTACAATAATCTGCATTTATGGGATGATCTATCTGGGCTCAGGAGCAGACCGCTTGCTGAAGTTTTCCCCCTATCCTCTGGTGTTTGTGTGGGGTGAGAGAGACCCACAGACTGTTGCTGGTCAGTGCTGAGGAGCAGCAATTTTACTGGTGTTTGTGGGTGGTGCGAGAGACCCACAGACTATTGCTTGTTGGTGCCAGGGGAGAGAGACCCACTGCTGAGTAAAACAGCAGCCACAGCTTTACTTCTTTCCCCTGAGGGCACACAATACCTAAAGCAGAGCGTCCTGCTCCTCACTTCACTGAGGAGACTTCACTTTCTATGTTTCCCTCTATGCCTCCGCTTGCAGCACACACAGAATGACCGGGACCTGACAGGGGGAGCCGACCTTGTTCGCAGCATAGCCCCGCTTATCACTATATTTTATTTTCGGGGGTGTGGCTTATATTACGCAAATGCTTAGAAATCCTGCTGTGACTTATTTTATGTTTATGTCTTATTTTTGGGGAAACAGGATACATACCACACATACATCTCCTGAAGCAGGACTCCAGACTAAATATGCTAGCTCTGAAGGGCCTTTCTCTACTGCCTTACTAATGTCATTGCTGCAGCACCTGTAAGCTTTTGGTACACACAACATCAATGCACATAAGCCAGAGTAGTGCACAAAGAGAAATCTGACCCTTGTCATAATTTGGAGGTTTCTTTCTTCTTCTTGAAGAGCCAGTATGACAAGCAGTAAGTCAAGAAATCCCACAACAAACACGTATAGCATGAATCAAAACATAAGACTGAAAGTTCATTGGAAAGTATTATGCAACAAGTCAGAGATGCAATGTGGCTATAAAAGTAGTTTCTCGGGAATCTGAAAGATACAAGATGACCTTTAAGAGCAGCATTACCAAAATTTTTGTTTAAATAATAATTGTATAAGGATAAATAAAGTGTTCCAAAGAACCAAAATAGTGTTGTGACTGCTCCAATTCAACTATTACGCCAGAAGCGGAATCCAACAGTTCGTGTTGCTTCGGCTTCTCGGGAACAATTTAAACTCAATATGGGTCAGGTCTGATATATGTATTCCTGAGATGCTTCTTAGTTACCATAGTAACAAATGCTCTTTTAAAACCTTAATTAGATAGATGCAAGAAAGGCTATTGGAGAGGAATGATTTGTCCCTGCTTATGCAGAGATCAGAATAATGGTTTAACTTGACTGTTTGCAACAGCTGGTTCCTTCTAGGTTGCAGTAGCTGGAACAACTACAGAGAACTTCTTACGCCATTGTGAATCACAACCCTCAGATCTCTGAATTGCTGCTGTATTGAGAAACAGGCCACAACTTGTAGGAACACAGCTGTTCTTCTACTCTCTTCCAGCTCCTGCCAGTCTCCTTGGAAGCAAGCACAACCCATTTAGCCTGATGAGAAAAACCTGCCCCCCATCTTCAAAGTGTGTTTAAATCACTGACCAAAGAAAGTTCTACAGAGACTAGACTACTGTTGTGTGTGTCTGTGTGTGAAAGTACCTCAAAGGCTGTTGCTAGGTGAAGTGGCCCTATGTCATGTCACTGGGAAAGAACAGCGACATGTGTGAAGGGAGGAAAGTAGGAAAGACTCATAAAGAAAGCCATCTTGCCATGGAGACATTGTGAGGTAAGCTCTCTAAGAGCTGGAGAAGGGAGAAAGAATCATAGAATCATAGAATCAAAGAGTTGGAAGAGACCTCATGGGCCATCCAGTCCAACCCCCTGCCAAGAAGCAGGGATATTGCATTCAAATCACCCCTGACAGATGGCCATCCAGCCTCTGTTTAAAAGCTTCTAAAGAAGGAGCCTCCACCACACTCCAGGGCAGAGAGTTCCACTGCTGAACGGCTCTCACAGTCAGGAAGTTCTTCCTCATGTTCAGATGGAATCTCCTCTCTTGTAGTTTGAAGCCATTGTTCCGCGTCCTAATCTCCAGGGAAGCAGAAAACAAGCTTGCTCCCTCCTCCCTGTGGCTTCCTCTCACATATTTATAAGTTGCTTACCTGTAACTGTAGTTTCCTGGGTAGTCAACTATGAATTGCACACATGGTATTCCTGCGCCTGCGCAGTACAGCTTCGGAACCTTCTAGAACTAAAATAACACATTTTGACACAGCCTGGCCCCGCCCCCCCTCCCCCCTCTCGAGTATATATGGCCCAACGCGGGGCCAGGCCCCCTCAGTTCTCTTTATCCGCCCAGCGATTCAGCTAGAGAACCTTCTGCGTGAACCACTTGTAGGTAGATTATCGGATTTGACTTGGACTGGCTCTCGTTTACTCTTAAATCTCTGACCTGGACTGTACCTGACTATTCTTTGGATCATCCCTTGGCTGGCCTTTGGCACTTTCTTTCCTGGGGCATAGAGGATCGCTCTAGTATTGGCTAGATGGTGACCACGTCTTTTAAGAAATGCACGCAGTGCCCAAACACTCTTCCGGACACTGACGGGCATTCCCTCTGCCTCGCGTGCTTGGGCGAGGCCCACCTCACCCAACCCTGCAAGATCTGCCAGGCCTTCACCCCCCAGACCCGCAAAAACAGGGTCTCCAGACTGAAGGCGGCTCTATATGAGAGGGCCCTTTTGCCTCCGTTAATAGCCCCTACTCCGGCCGCGGGACCAATCGACCTACCTGGTCTTAAGCCTCCACAACATGGCCATTGTTCCGCGTCCTAAAGCAGAAAACAAGCTTGCTCCCTCCTCCCTGTGGCTTCCTCTCACATATTTATACATGGCTATCATATCCCCTCTCAACCTTCTCTTCTTCAGGCTAAACAATGCTCAGCTCTTTAAGCCGCTCCTCATAGGGCTTGTTCTCCAGACCCTTGATCATTTTAGTCGCCCTCCTCTGGACACATTCCAGCTTGTCAATATCTCTCTTGAATTGTGGTGCCCAGAATTGGACACAATATTCCAGGTGTGGTCTAACCAAAGCGAATAGAGGGGTAGCATTACTTCCCTAGATCTAGACAGTATGCTCCTATTGATGCAGGCCAAAATCCCATTGGCTTTTTTTGCCGCCACATCACATTGTTGGCTCATGTTTAACTTGTTGTCCACGAGGACTCCAAGATCTTTTTCACACGTACTGCTCTCGAGCCAGGCGTCACCCATTCTGTATCTTTGCATTTCGTTTTTCCTGCCAAAGTGGAGTATCTTGCGTTTGTCACTGTTGAACTTCATTTTGTTAGTTTTGGCCCATCTCTCTAATCTGTCAAGATCGTTTTGAATCCTGCTCCTGTCCTCTGGAGTATTGGCTATCCCTCCCAATTTGGTGTCGTCTGAAAACTTGATGATCCTGCCTTCTAACCCTTCATCTAAGTCATTAATAAAGATGTTGAACAGGACCGGGCCCAGGACGGAACCCTGCGGCACTCCGCTCGTCACTTCTTTCCAGGATGAAGAGGAAGCATTAGTGAGCACTCTCTGTGTTTGTCCACTTAACCAATTACAGATCCACCTCACCGTAGTTTTGCCTAGCCCACATTAGACTAGGGATCGGAGGGAAAAAAAGGGGGAAAAGGTATGAGGGGAAGGAAAGAGAAGGGACAAAAGCCCCTCTGACACCCAGGCAACGCTGGGTTTATACACTAGTGATCAATAACTGGATCTCAGAATTATAATGTGAATTGATATAGAAAAATAGCACAAAAACCAACAAAGCCAACTCCCAGTCATTTGTTCAAATTGCCAATTATGAAATCTTCTCCCAATAGCCGTAAAGTTCCACCTGTCAATTAAAACCACTGATACCCCATAGTTTTTGGACTTTCTAAGACCTTTGAATCGTATTCACAAAATCCACATCTACAATTTATCTGGTTTTAATGGCTAGTGCAAGAAAACAATCCCAAGAAAGCAGAATATCAATGACTATTACTTTACTTGGTCAAATATTGTACAAAAAAACCCTCCACACATACATATTGGTATATACATTTATTTGAAACATACAGTCATGCTTAGAATGTAACTAACAGTCATTACAGGAGCATAACATGGAAGAGAAATTGTGAGGCCATACAGATTCAATGTACAGCAATCCTTACTTACACCAGCTGATCTTTTATTCCTTAATTATAACTGTTTGCATATCAAACTGACTACTCATCAGTTAGGTTGCTGTAAGTCTTTTTTGCTCCAGAAGCATTCTCTCCTGATGTTTCACTTGCATTTATGGCAGGCATCCTCAGAGATTGTGAGGTCCTGCATCTATGGCAGGCATCTTCAGAGGTTGTGAGGACCTCACAACCTCTGAGGATGCCTGCCATAGATGCAGGCGAAATGTCAGGAGAAAATGCTTCTGGAACATGGCCATACAGCCTGAATGACTTACAGCAACCCAGTGATTCCGGCCTTGAAAGCCTTCGACAATACATACTCATCAATTATTTTGTACCCTAATTTGAATCTTCTTGATTTACTTTATCTTTTCTAAAATGGTGTAATGATTTTCAGTGGGTCTATTAAGCCCCTACCAATTTTATTCTTGGAAAAAAGGAACTTAAAAAGTGATGACTTTGGCTGGATCATTCTCAGGTTACGGAAAGGCATATTAAGATTAGCATATAAAGGAATAATGCTTGCTACTTCCTTGCCTGTAATAATAAATACCTTCAAGCAGCAATTTAGAACAGGAGCCTATAAAATGCTTCATACAGCTGCTAGGAATCCCCCACCAGAAGAATAGATTTAACATTAAACTCAATTTTTGGGGGTTAAATGTCCAATCAAAAATATTTGTTTTACTTAGCTGCATTTACCCATAATTCTCCCTGTCGATCCCACAGGCCTGAGTGTGTCTCATTGGGTTCTGCTCTAGAAAAAACAGATCTGTTCTCTGACTTCGACTCTGAAGCCAGATGGCCACATGAGCCATGAAGATGCCTCTGCTACCAAGCTGCTAGTTATACCATCTTTCCAAGAGTGCATTAGTAAGATTTTATGACTATGTAAATCATGAACACTACCTCCAACTGCTAAGCCACATATCAGTTCACCCACAATAATCTTACATATTGAGAACATAGGTTACTCGGTGCATCCCACAACTTTATGCTGCCTATAAAATTATGAATATTAGAACAATACATTTTTTCTACACAATCATACCATTTAATGACACGTCAATGTGATAATCTTTTCTAGCAGACTGATATTTTACACAGATAGTTTTGCTGAATAGCACAAGTTTGTCAGTTAAAATTTATTTTTAAGGAAAAGGTATCTCCTCCAATAGAGGAAAAGGAACACCCCATTTCTGAAGAAAGTGTTTACTTATATAACAACAATAGAAAATTCATTTAGAAAGAGTTATTCATATCGCCCAGCTAGACTGGGTAAACTAGACAGTTAGCATGAGCCAGGAAATAAAAATCTGACACATTTCAAATTAAAGCGAAAGAAATAATAAAGATATGGCATGTCATTTCATGAAATACATGTAGTTTTTAGTAACAAAGATAAGTGCTGCATTGCTGTGAGTTTTTCGGGCTGTATGGCCATGTTCTAGAAGCATTCTCTCCTGACATTTTGCTCACATCTATGGCAGGCATCCTCAGAGGTTGAGGGATCTGTTGGAAACTAGACAAGTGGAGTTAATATATCTGCAAAATGTCTGCCACAAGCAGACAAGAGTTCTTTCTCCCACCCTGGACATTTCACCTGCCATAGATGTGGGCGAAACATCAGGAGAGAATGCTTCTGGAACATGGCCATACAGCCCAGAAAACTAACAGCAACCTAGTGATTCCGGCCATAAAAGCCTTCAGCAACATAAAGATTGGTGCCTTTACATCATTATAATATGGATATTTCTGGCAAAACATCATGACCTTTAAATACCCAGAAGGATAGACATGGTCCAGTCACATAATAATCTGCTTTTAAAGAAATGTTAATGACTTGGTCCCATTTCCAAAACACACCTTCCTTCTCTAGAAAAATCCAGGACCTTTTCTATCTATCACAGAACTTATCAGTACAGCATGCTAATAGTAACATCTGACCCAAGACATGTTACAGGTACCACAGAAATAATTATAAACGTAGTTCTGTTTATCTGGAATTAATGCATCCTCAATTCAGAAAGGATCCTCTATGTGGGAATATATAGAAACATCAACAGTATGTAGGCGGCAGCTGCCTGTACTGAGGAAAACAATCTGAGGAGCTAAAAATAATAGTTAAGAGCACTGTTTATTTACACGGCCTTTAATGGAGCAGTTCGGGCTGATTTTCTACAAAAGGAAGCACTCCACTGACATAGTATGCAATCCCAAGGGAGAGCAAGGCGATGACAAAGATCAAGAGCAGCACTCGCCAGAAGCCAAGGTCCTCCACAAACTCTTGCCAGGTTGTTCGGAAGCTGGAGAGAACTCCTTCACCTTGCTGCAGGTTGGGATTGAGAAGGGAATGGCTCTCCATTGCACTATCAAAGGAACACAGACATGAATTACATTAATGCAAACAGAGGACATTAATGATGACCCACTTGTGCCAAGAACCTGAAAAGGGGACTTTATCTAAGTTTGTATTTGGGCACAGAAAATCCAGGTTCAAATGATCACACCTCTTAATGGCACACTTGTATCTGCTTCAATTATAGGAGTCTTGCAACATTTCCCACAGAAAACAAACAAGTGACAGAAAAGCTTAAGAAGAACTGCATGACTGTGATATTTACAGAAGTTAATTGCAGTATCTCATGTGTTTGTATCTTCCCCTAGGACTGCAGTTGGACATTTCTGTCCAAATTGGAATATTCATTTTTAGTTAGTCAAGGGTTTTTTTTGTGTCTGTGTATGTCAGAAGCAACTTGAGAAACTGCAAGTCACTTCTGACGTGAGATAATTGGCAGTCTGCAAGAATGTTGCCCAGGGGATGCCCGGTGTTTGATGTTTTACCATCCTTGTGGGAGGCTTCTCTCATGTCCCCGCATGGGGAACTGGAGCTGACAGAGGGAACTCAACTTGCTCTCCCTGGATTCAAACTGCTGACCTATCGGTCAGCATTTTTGCCAGCACAAGGGTTTAACCACTGTGCTACTGGGGGCTCCATTTAGTCAAATGAGCTTCACACATTAAAATAATTACCATGGTGAAATAATTAAAAGATTAAGAACAACAAGACACAGATTTAAACCAAACTAAGTTCAGATAAAGAGAGAGAGAAAAAGAAAGACTTGGCAATTAATTCAAACAGATGGAGCCAACCAAACTTCTTCAGGGTGTTCTATTATAAACAGTGCAGGATGCTAAACTGTCTAGGATCACGTGATGGTGAGTTATTCAAAATGGTACCAAAGGGTGAACAGAATGAAGGACTGGTGGATAGGACTGTGGCACAGCTGTCTGAGTGTCAAGATCACTTCTGACCATAAGGTCATGAGTTTGAAGCCAGCCCGGGTCGGAGTGAGCTTCCAACTAATTGTGTAGCTTGTTGTCAACCTTTGCAACCCGAAAGACAGTTGCATCTGTCAAGTAGGAAAATTAGGTACCACCTATGTGTGGGGAGGCTAATTTAATTAATTTACAAGGCCATAAAAAGACTCCAGCAAAGCATTCCAGCAAAAGCATGTGGGAATGCGGAAGTACTTCATCAGTGTCGAAGATGGACTATGAAAGCGACAGCTCCCCTGGCGGTCAGAAAAGTTAAATAGCCTCTGACTGTTTGCCTATATCTGTTGTGTGTCTTTGTCATTGCATGTTTGCCATATGTGTGTACATTGTAATCCGCCCTGAGTCCCCTGCGGGGTGAGAAGGGCAGAATATAAATACTGTAAATAAAATAACTAACTAAATAAATAATGTCTAAGGACACTGAGTTACTGTATTTTTTCCAGGCGGGAAGATGAATCTCAGAAGAATGTAGATTACAATTAGATTTTTGCATGTGAGGTAGATTCAAAGCCAAGTATTCCCTATTCCCAGCTTGTGTTGGGTCTCGTTAGTTCAAACTTAAAAGGGCTGTATCACTTGGGACAGAAATTAGTGTTTAGGGAAGAGAGCAAATGGGTGCATGGATCTGGGACAATTATGACTTTTGAAGCAATAAAGGAAGTGTAATACAAGCACCACAACTCTTGTTTTCAGAAGCCCTGGCAGCATGACTCTTGTTCTAGGAAAAAATGATCCCTGTAGACTGGCAGGGAATCTCCACGAGTTCCATTTTAGAGCAGTGGTTCTCAACCTGCGGGTTCCCAGATGTTTGTGCCTTCAACTCCCAGAAATCCTAACAGCTGTTAAACTGGCTGGAATTTCTGGGAGTTTTAGGCCAAAACACCTGGGGACCCACAGGTTGAGAATCACTGCATTAAAGGTATAGAGTTTAGTATAAAGTCCTTATGTATTCTACCGATAAGGTTGTATGAGATGGGAAGAACAATAAGGCCAATTGTTGCTAACACTGTGAACTGCCCTGAGTCCCCTTCAAGGTTGAGAAGGGCAGTATACAAATACCACAAATAAATAAATAAGGCTACAACTGCTACAGCTGTTGAATAAATACTTCCAGGAGCATAGCCATAAAAAGGTTTCCACCCTTCTAGCTCTGGACTGCCATATGGCCTTATTCATTGGGTTGTCCCCTGGTTGCCCTCTTTTCCCATTCCCATAATCAGCTCAGCCCAGAAGCAATTCTGGCATCTCCTCAACCGCTGTGTGCCTGGACCTGCTAACTTCATAAAGCAATATCCTTAGTTTTGGCTGTGAAATCCTAGAGTCTGGGATCCTGCTAACTTGGCCACCTGACCCATGGACAAAAATAGAAATTTGTGCTACTTTTCCACCAAAATGTTTAAACAGACACAATTGCTTTAGCTTTGTTTAGCCAAAATGCTAGAAAGGGGAAGGTTCAAATGGATAGAATGCTTCCTCTATGTATTTTTTTTTTGCTCTATACAGACTTTAGTAAACAGAATCCCAGAAGAACTATGGACAGAAGTCCGCGACATTGTTCAGGAGGCGGCAACAAAGTACGTTCCAAAGAAAAAGAAAACCAAGAAGGCAAAATGGTTGTCTGCTGAGACACTGGAAGTAGCCCAAGAAAGGAGGAAAGCAAAAGGAAACAGGGATAAGGGGAGATATGCCCAGTTAAATGCGCAATTCCAGAGGTTAGCCAGAAGAGATAAGGAACTATTTTTAAATAAGCAATGCATGGAAGTGGAAGAAGACAACAGAATAGGAAGGACAAGAGACCTCTTCCAGAAAATTAGAAACATTGGAGGTAAATTTCAGGCAAAAATTGGTATGATAAGACACAAAGATGGCAGGGACCTAACAGAAGCTGAAGAGATCAAGAGAAGGTGGCGAGACTATACAGAAGATCTGTATAGGAAGGATAATAATATTGAGGATAGTTTTGACAGTGTGGTGAATGAATTAGAACCAGACATCCTGAGGAGTGAGGTTGAATGGGCCTTAAGAAGAATTGCTAACAACAAGGCAGCAGGAGATGACGGGATCCCAGCTGAACTGTTTAAAATCTTAAAAGATGATGCTGTCAAGGTGATGCATGCCATTTGCCAGCAAATATGGAAAACACAAGAATGGCCATCAGACTGGAAAAAATCAACTTATATCCCCATACCAAAAAAGGGAAATGCGAAAGACTGCTCAAACTTCCGTACAGTGGCCCTTATTTCTCATGCCAGTAAGGTAATGCTCAAGATCCTGCAAGGAAGACTCCAGCAATACGGAGAGAGAGTTGCCAGATGTTCAAGCTGGGTTTAGAAAAGGCAGAGGAACAAGAGACCAGATTGCCAATATCCGCTGGAGAATGGAGAAAGGCAGGGAGTTTCAGAAAAACATCTACTTCTGCTTCATTGACTATTCTAAAGCCTTTGACTGTGTGGATCATAATAAATTGTGGCAAGTTCTTAGTGGGATGGGCATACCAAGCCACTTTGTCTCTCTCCTGAGGAATCTGTACAAGGACCAAGTAGCAACAGTCAGAACTGACCACGGAACAACAGACTGGTTCAAGATTGGGAAAGGCGTACGGCAAGGCTGCATCCTCTCACCCAACCTTTTTAACTTGTATGCAGAACACATCATGCGATGTGCGGGGCTGGATGAATGCAAAGCTGGGGTGAAAATTGCTGGAAGAAACATTAACAACCTCAGATATGCAGATGACACCACGCTGATGGCCGAAAGCGAGGAGGAGCTGAGGAGCCTTCTAATCAAGGTGAAAGAAGAAAGCGCAAAAGCCGGGTTGCAGCTAAACGTCAAAAAAAAACCAAGATTATGGCAACAAGAATGATTGACAACTGGAAAATAGAGGAGGAAAATGTGGAGGCCGTGACAGACTTTGTATTTCTAGGTGCAAAGAATACTGCAGATGCAGACTGTAGCCAGGAAATCAGAAGACGCTTACTTCTTGGGAGGAGAGCAATGTCCAATCTCGATAAAATAGTGAAGAGTAGAGACATCAGACTGGTAACAAAGATCCGCCTAGTCAAAGCCATGGTATTCCCTGTAGTCACCTACGGATGTGAGAGCTGGACCTTAGGGAAGGCTGAGCGAAGGAAGATCGATGCTTTTGAACTGTGGTGTTGGAGGAAAGTGCTGAGAGTGCCTTGGACTGCGAGAAGATCCAACCAGTCCATCCTCCAGGAAATAAAGCCCGGCTGCTCATTGGAGGGAAGGATACTAGAGACAAAGTTGAAGTACTTTGGCCACATCATGAGGAGACAGGAAAGCCTAGAGAAGACAATTATGCTGGGGAAAGTGGAAGGCAAAAGGAAGAGGGGCCGACCAAGGGCAAGATGGATGGATGGTATCCTTGAAGTGACTGGACTGACCTTGAGGGAGCTGGGGGTGGTAACGGCCGACAGGGAGCTCTGGCGTGGGCTGGTCCATGAGGTCACGAAGAGTCGGAGACGACTGAACGAATGAACAACAATACAGACTTAGGGCAAACCTAAAATTAACCTATCATAGGGTTACCTTGCCTAGATCAGAGGTGGTTTGTCTTTGTCTTCTAAGGTTGAGAGAGTGTAACTTGCCTGAGGCTATCCATAATCTAGCAGGGATTCAAATCCTGGTCTCTAATGTCATTGTCCAGTGTTCAAACACCACCGGCTTTCTGCTGGTGTGATACAGCTTGTTTAATGATTGGCACGTAGCTAGATATACTCAATAGCTGCAGTTATGTACCCAATATTTGATTCCCCACATAGTTTGGACTTCAGCTCCCAGAAGCCTCAACAAGCTTGGTCAATGGTCTTGGAGGGATTCTTGGAGCTGAAGTCTTAAAAGCATACGGAGAACCAAAAGTTGAGAATCAATGGTCTACAATATAGTACCAAAGCACAGCACAATCACCAGCTGTCAGTAACAGTCACCAGCAGAAAGCACCTGATTTCTGAAATAAAACTTTCCTTTTTAAATAAATAAATAAATTTATTTCCTGGGAAAGTTATTCAGCATGTCATTTGGCAGGGCCAGTCATCTTTCATAGAGACCGGGAAAAGACCGTGTTTTTTAAGGGATCCTTTGGTGCACACAAAGATTGTTTACTAATTAAGATTCAACCAGTTAATCTATAACTGCCATAGAGGTTAATTCAAGGTACAAGGTAATCTAAGTGGAAAGGTGACATAGTTACTGAAAACAAAACCAGGCCTGTTTCTTTGAAAACAGAAAACACCTGGGTTATTTTCCATAACATCCAAATTAAATTCTCAAACCTAACACGGCATCAAGTGCTTGAATGCTCACTATTTTGGAAGGACTTGGTAAATAACATAAATCCCAGACGTTATTTCTGTGGCTAAGAAAAAAAAAGCTGCATTTTGGAGAGATGTTGCTACCAACACCGTGGTCAGTGGTTAGTTACCATGTAGAGAAGTAGAAGATATGCTCGGTACTAAAATGCCTCCACACGACAGTGAAAAGTATGGGAAAGCAAGCTGCAACTGCTACAAACTAAACCAGGGAAAGACTAGCTTTCAATTTGATCAGAAGAGCAGGAGGGAAATACATTAGGCAAGAAACCAAACTGGTAGCACTCTGCTTTCTAATAATTATGACACCATCCAGCAGTATAAATGTATGGCTTGAGACTTACTGTTATTCAAAGTAAGGAAAAGCAAATTTTAAACCATATCACAATTGAATCCAGACAAGACAGAGGTACTCCTGGTCAGTCGCAAGGCCGAACAGGGCATAGGGTTACAGCCTGTGTTGGATGGGGCCGCACTCCCCCTGAAGATGCAGGTTCGCAGCTTGGGTGTGACCCTGGACTCATCGCTGAGCCTGGAACCCCAGGTTTCGGCGGTGACCAGGGGAGCATTTGCACAGCTAAAGCTTGTGCGCCAGCTGCGCCCGTACCTTGGGAAGTCTGACTTGGCCACGGTAGTCCATGCTCTGGTTACATCCCGTTTAGACTACTGCAACGCTCTCTACGTGGGGTTGCCTTTGAAGACAGCTCGGAAGCTCCAACTAGTCCAACGCTCGGCAGCCATGATTTTAACAGGAGCGGAGCGCAGGGAGCATACAACCCCCCTGTTGCGCCAACTCCACTGGCTACCGATCTGCTACCGGGCTGAATTCAAAGTGCTGGCGTTGGCCTTTAAAGCCCTAAACGGTTCCGGCCCAAGCTATCTATCTGACCGCATCTCTGCCTATGAACCCACCAGGAGTTTGAGATCTTCCGGGGAGACCCTGCTCTCGATCCCGCCTGCTTCTCAAGCTCGGCTGGCGGGGACGAGAGATAGGGCCTTCTCGGTGGTGGCTCCTCGGCTGTGGAACGCCCTTCCTACGGACATTAGACTAGCACCATCTCTAATGGTATTCCGCAAAAAGGTGAAGACCTGGATGTTTGTGCAGGCGTTTGAGTAATTTAGTGCAATCTGGTAATGGAATATAGGAATGGAACAATGGACGACGAACCTGGACTACGCTTGGATGATGAGAAGATTGGGTGGTTTTTTGTAATAATTGTGCATTGTAATTGCTTATTGGTAATTTATGGATAATGTGTAAGTCAATTGTTATATGTTGTATGGAACCACTGCTGTTTCTACTGTTTTTACTGTTTGTGAACCGCTGTGAGTCGCCTTCGGGCTTGAGATACAGCGGTATATAAGCAAAGTAAATAAATAAATAAATAATAAATATTTTACTTTGGCAAATGGGAGTTACACAAAAAGTAAATTAAATTTTAAAAGATCAAGAAAAAGACAAAATATTTGCACATGCCATGTACACACTTAAATTCTAAGCAAAATAGTTCGAGACTGCATCAAAAGACAGTAGTAGTTCACATCTCACACAGCATCAGCAAAAGAAACCATACTTCTGAGGTGCATCTACACTGCTGAATTAATTCAGTTTGACAACACTTTGACTGTCTGGACTCAATGCCACAGAATCATGAGAATAGTAGTTTCATGATACAAAAACACAATTTGACAGAAGGCTGAAGAGCTCATAAAATTACAACCTCCCAAGGAAGGATTCCCCCAGGCAGGAATCAGCCAGGCCTTGAATCTGCAAGGCTTTGCAATGTTAAACAAGGTGATTAATCGCTACATTCACACCTGGCTCCAACAGGCAAGAGTTCTTTCTCCCACCCTGGACCTTCCACAGAGAAATAAACCTCCCTTGCTTAGTTTCCAATATACCTCACAACCTCTAAGGATGCCTGCCACATATGTGGGCGAAACATCAGAAGAGAATGCTTCCGGAACATAGCCATACAGCCCGGAAAACTCACAGCAATACAACTTCTATGATTCCGTAGCAGTGGGTCATGGCAGTTAAAGCAGTGTCAAACAACATTATTTCTATAATTTAGATACATCTTTGATATAATTTATTCTATTTGTGGTAAGATAATCGAACAAAATCAAGAAAAAACTAAGGAGGAAGAGTTTTTTTTTTATTTTCCAATGTATGCCCTTTGAGGGGTAAACAATAATAAATGTTTATCTCCTGTCTCAAAATTAAAGGGTAAATATTTTTATGTCCAATGGTAAATATAAACTTTTTAACAAAAGCATTACATACAAGCATAAATATGCACAAACTTTGTAATGTACTGATGTATAACACCTCATCCTGTATCGTGCCACAATATAAACTACAAAGCTTAAGGCTATTTTTACTGCCGGTAACAGCGGGGAATAATAATAATAATAATAAAACTTTATTTATATACCGCTCCATCTCTACGAGGGGACTCAAAGCGGTTCCCAGATAACATTATAAAACATACAAAGTAAAAAACAACATAACCATAAGATTAACAAAACAAAATATAAGCATAAAAATTGTCACCATAACACACATATATTAAAAGTAGGGATTATGAGGTTATGAGCAGGATCCAGCAGAGCTGACAAAACAAAACCTTCCTTCTTTCTTAACCAATCTTATAAAAGCTCAACACAAATGGATGTTCAAATTGGACTATTCATTCATCCAACCCATCCCTATCTATTTCAAGCCTTCCAAGGTCTTATACCTTTATGTCTGATCTAGTCATGGTAGTCCATGTTCTTGTTTTATCCAGAATAGATTACTGGAATACACTCTACATGGGTTTGCCTTTGAAGACTGTTCGGAAACTCCAACTAGTCCAACGGGCGGCAGACAGATTACTAACTGGAGCAACATACAGGGAACATACCACCCCCCTGTTGTGCCAGCTCCACTGGCTGCTGGTCCACTTCTGAGCACAATTCAAAGTGCTGGTCTTGGCCTATAAAGCCCTATACGGTTCCGGCACAGCTTACCTGTCTGAACGTATCTCCCTCTACATCCCACCTCGGAATTTAAGATCATCCGGGGAGGCCCTGCTCTCGGCCCTGCCATCTTCGCAAGTGCGTTTGGTGGGGACGAGAGACAGGGCCTTCTCGGTGGTGGTCCCCTGCCTGTGGAATGCTCTCCGTAGCAAAATTAGGTCAGCTTTGCCCCTCCTCTCTGGCTTTGGGACCACACATTCAGACAGTAGGCTTGGCAGTGTTCATAATGTTTGATCTTTGACATAGGACAGGCTTTGGACTGAGTCGTCGATCACTAAATTAGATCTGGTGATATGGCGAATAATAAAAAATGTTTTAATGTATTTTAATTCAATGTTTTATCTCATGCATAATGTTGTTATATTGTATTTTGTATGTTGTTGGCATCGAATTGCTGCCCTTGTAAGCCGCCCTGAGTCCCCCTTCAGGGGTTGAGAAGGACGGGGTGGAAATGTTGGAAATTAATAAATAAATAATAAAGCATATTCCCTTTAAACTATATATCAAACTCCTCTAAATATCTGAATTAGCAGTTGAGGAGAACAGGACAGAAAGTAGAGCTGCACAGTCAACATTTGGGCCCCTGTGTAAACAGAAACGCCTTTGGTGTGACCTGGCATGACTTTTTCTTAGATTCTTCTGGCATAATTACAGTATCCTCTGTGACACATACAACAGACATAATGGAAACTTTATGACTGTCACATAAAACAGTGCTCAGAGACTCCGTATGCTGAAACTTCACATTATGGCCTGGTTCTCAATGTGTTTGGTTTTATAGTTGTATAGCTCTTACAACTACAGTTGGGACAGAACATTCCTCTGTAACAGAACAACCACCACCATCCTAAATCCAACTGTGAATTCCAACTAGAATATAGCTACTGCATAAATGAGAACTTAATAAAACAGCATTTATATAAGTCCCATTGATTTAGAGGATTAACTCTAGCCAGAACAAGCAATAGACTTAGGTCATAATCATTAACTGTACATAGAAAGCTAATACAGCATGGAGAAAGTTGGGCTCCCAAGCATCAATTTTTATATTTTCGTGATTTTTTTGGGTTTAAGTTGTGGAGTAATATGAACTACTAAGCACCTAGTTGTGGTCACTTCAGGACAGGCAAAAATGACTTCCTCGGTAAGGATTAGACATGTGGCTAGTTGCTGAAGCTCATAGACAGTCCAGCTTTGAAAGAACTCCTTCCCTTGAAAAATAAGCTTGAGAGCTAAAGCCAAAACAGACAACCACAGGCTATAATATTTTATGGAAACATGTCTCAAAAGAAACCATGACCTTTTCTACAACGCAGCACAAGCACCAAATATGACGAGTCACTCAGCTATCTTGAGCAAGGAAAATAAAACCAACACTGGGGGAAAAAAAGATTATATTTTTGGCAATACCTTTCACTTTCAGCTGTCTGCATAGTTTCCAGCTTTGAATGAGCTCCTCTATTGAATCCTTTAACTTCTTGCTCCTCCAAAGATTCCAGCAACCGGATCACATCTTTATTGACCCCTCTTCTTTTTGCCAAGACAAGAGGGGTTGCACCTTGGTGGTTGCTGTAGAAAACAAAGATTTATTTTTTAATGAGAGCCCATGAACTCTCTCTACTTCAAACAAGCGCAATTATTCCCTGTATGAAAAATTCAGCACACAGGCTACTTTTCAGAAGGACCACAATCACTATTATGTTATCAGGCCTATACTGACTGCGTTAACAAGGCTGTTAATTGGTGCCTGACAAGTGATGAAATATTAATCTGTTACATTAATAGCATCTTATGACATAACTGAGTCGACATGGCTCCCTCTTGAAGTCAGGCACTTTGATCTAACAGTTCCTAGGTCTAGTTCCTATGGGCCTAAGGGGGATGGAATGTGTCAGCAACTGGAGAATTTTAAGCCATTTTAAAAAAATATAAAATCAATAAAGATTAATATAGTACAACAAATACCTTGTAATTGCATTTCAAAACCATGAAAATATAAGTCATGTCCTGTATAATTTTTGTAATGTTCCTGTATTGTTGTTCTACTTTTCTTGAGGCAATTTTCCACCCATACAGAACTGATTTCTGGAGCCATATACACTTGATCATTTGAACTGATCCTCAACTTGCCTATTATGGTAAATTGCATTAGTATTGTTTAATATATTATTTTGTTATGAATTTTGGTGACATTATTGAGTTTTCTTATAAAATGAAATGATGAGATAGATAGCTCTTCTTTATTTTTATTATTTATTTTAATAATTCTAGTTTCCCTGAATTGGATGCCAACAAATGATAGAAGAAAAAATAATGCAGAGGCTCCTAACTTATTTTAAAATACAGAAAGCTATATATCATATCACACTGAGGTTGTATTGTTATCTTTTCCACTTTGTTTTTTCTCTAATGTAATTTTTTTATCGTGTCAGGAGCGACCTGAGAAACTGCAAGTCGCTTCTGGTGTGAGAGAATTGGCCGTCTGCAAGGACGTTGCCCAGGGGACGCCCGGATGAGTTGATGTTTTATCATCCTTGTGGGAGGCTTCTCTCATGTCCCTGCATGAGGAGCTGGAGCTGATAGAGGGAGCTCATCCACCTCTCCCCGGATTCGAACCTGCGACCTGTCGGTCTTTAGTCCTGCCGGCACAGGGGTTTAACCCACTGCGCCACCGGGGGCTCCTCTAATGTTCATTAACTGTGCTGATAACTCTACAATTTTCTACTGAACTGTCAAGGGCAGTAGAATTATCCAAGAGTTAATTGTTATGGTCTCAGTAGAATTCATAGGAAATATAGATTAACTACATATGACTTGCCATCTTCTAAATCTCTTAGCCATCACAATCATATACTATAAAGTGATACTCAAAATAAAAATAGAGAAGACAAGCTCATTATTACTCATTTAAGGCTGGTAACCACTTTTGAACCATTAGGATGCATGAGCATATGGTTCAAACAAGGAACTGTTCCATGAGGATTGTTAATTGTGTTTGTCAAACAGCTATTTATTCAGGACACTAAGTGCTTTTGTCTGGGCACTAGTACATGACAGATGTTGAGAGCTTGGTGGAGTGAATATACAATATTTCAGAGAAAGATTGATTCAGAGTCTGAGGGCAGGTGGGGTGAACACTAGAAAAATAGTGTTTTCACACAGAAATTGAAAAGAAACAATGGAGTCAAGTAACATACAATGCGTGCATACATAAAACATTAAAAGATGTTACTCTGTGACATCTTTTTAAATTAGCAATTGATATCAGCATCAGAAAAATGCCAGACACTGAGGCTGCATCAAGCTAGTAAGTGCCACATGGCAGAATCTGGAATTGCTATTCGACTGCTGGCTTTCCAGACAATTCATAGCAGCATAAAATATTGCCACTCACAATGTTCCCTTATGATGCATGAAGAGAACCAGGAACAGGCAGTGCTTGTACAGAAACAATCCCTACAATCTCAAAGAAACACAACACTGAGTGTGAAATAGTAACTGATGTAAGAAAGCCATTGCATGAAACTGTTCCAGCTTGCTCAAGTAATAAAAGGAAATATTTAGACGAATGCTGAAGGGGCTGCCTGTTTTGTGTTGTTTGATACTCTCCAGCTGAGTGCAAACCCAGCACATTTCATGCTTGGTTTGTTGTTGCTGTTGTTGTTTTTGCAGTCCCGAAGAAAGACGTGGAATGGTTTTAACTTCTTCCATCAACTACTACAGATTATTAGGCAAAATGTAGCCATTTAAAATTAAAAACATGTATTCAAGACTGGCATTCCCATGCATTTTGTATCAGTCAACTTACCAAATATCTATTTTGAGTCCATTGGAGACCAGGAACTGAATGGTATCCACATGCCCACACAGGTGAAGGGCTGTGTTACCTTGGTAGTCGGTAGCCAGAAGATCAGCACCAAATTTGTGTAACAGCTGACTGATGTCTACATTTCCACGAGCCGCTGCTAAGTGGAGCCCTGTTCGCCCTCGGCTGTCACGAATGTTTGGATCAAAGCCACTCTCCAGGAGTCTCTTGGAATAATTAAAGTCTCCATCAATGCAAGCTTGCAGCAAAGGCACACTTGTCTGGGAAGAATCATTTACAAATACATAGGACATGACTGCTGGGATCCAGAAAATGTTGTAAGCCTACAGGTGAAAAATGAAATGACAAAAATTGTGAGCCTATGCAGAACAGAATCTCTGTTGAAAGTTTTCAAACAGCTTGACTGTGAAATGGACTGTCTCCAGCTCTAAACAAGAGTTGGCTGGTTGGATGGCTATCTATTAGGGATCTTTTAATTTGTGGCTCTGTGCACAAATTAAAATGATCCTTGGGTTCCCATCCAACTATACAATTCTGTGACCCTGGCAATGTCAGTAGTACAGGCAACTGTTTTCTGAACAAAAAAAGGTCCAAAGCTTGAACACAATCTGGATATATTGGTGATTCACGTGGATAGTCTGGAATTGGGAGTCCAAAAAGGAAAGTTCAAGTGGAAAATCTATTTCATAGGAACAAGCTCTAAAAAGCCATATTGTGCATACAGGCAATGCTCCCTGAAGCTGTATCAATTGAAGCCCCTTCTTTCATTTCCATTTTGTTGATTCAAGGATTTGTAAGTCTCTCACTTTTAAGGGTTGATTCAGGTCACTACAATGACTGTCAGACAGTTGGCAAATCCTTGCTAAGAACAAAGTGCCCTGATCTCTGAGTCTTAATTTCAAAATGTAAAGGGGGTACAGATTCCTTGGGAGAAAAAGCAAGAGCAAAGAAAGAGACACTAATGTATACACTAGGCCAGGAGTCCTCAAACTAAGACCCGAGGGCTGGATACAGCCCTCCAAGGTCATTTACCTGGCCCTCGCTCAGGATCAACCTAAGTCTGAAATGACTTGAAAGCACAACAACAACAACAACAATCCTATCTCATCAGCCAAAACCTGGTCTGAAATACTAAGAATTTTATATTTGTAAAAATTGTTCTTCATTTTAATTATTGTATTGTTTTTAAGGGTTTTTTTTTTGCACTACAAATAAGATATGTGCAGTGTGCATAGGAATTCATTCATGCTTTTTTCAAATTATAATCCGGCCCTCCAACAGTTTGAAGAATTGTGACTTGGCCCTCTGTTTAAATAGTTTGAGGACCCCTGCACTAGGCTGTTTCAAGGGAACAGGTATAGTAACGCAGATCAGACATTCTTATACTTACTATAAATAAAACAACTCTTAATGGGATTACATTTCTCATTTATCTGCTCCTTATTTAACTTTGAACTTCCGCACTCAGGCTATGGTAACTAGTCACTGAGGAAAAGATAATCCTTTCCACATGTATCAGTTCCCCATGAGATTTTCTAGAAGAATTTCTACCGCCTTGTTTAGTCTATGTTTTCATTTACATAGAATTTACATAAGGTGGTGCAGCAGGTTAAACCACTGAGCTGCTGAACTTGCTGACTGAAAGGTTGGTGGTTCGAATTCGGGGAGTGGGGTGAGCTCCCGCTCTTAGCCCCAGCTTCTGTCAACCTAGCAGTTCAAAAACATGCAAATATGAGCGGATCAATAGGTACCACTTCCGCGGGAAGGTAACAGAACTCCATGCAGTCATGCTGACCACAAGACCTTGGAGGTGTCTTCGGACAACACCAGCTCTTTGGCTTAGAAATGGAGATAAGAACCAATCCCCAGAGTTGGACATGAGTCGACTTAATGTCAGGGCAAACCTTTATCTTTACCTTTATTTACTTAAGACGTTTGATTCAAGCCAATCCAGCAAGTGGCCAATGCAGAGGCATGGAAGCAAAAGAAAACCTCTAAGGATTGAGAGTATGTAACTCTCTTTCATTTTCCAAGATAATTATATGGGAATCTACTTAATGCTCAAGCAGGAGCAGTGCAAACAGAAAAGGAAAAGAACCAGCGGTGAACAAGACAAGTGTGAAGTGAAAAATGCTGTTCGAAACTTTAAAAGTAACAAAGTTCTACAGTTGAACACGGATTCAAGCCCTGATCTCCTGAACTGCTAATCAAACACTCAAAACTATTATATCGTGCGGGCTCTCAAGACAAAGGTATGTAAAGGAAACGAAGGTCATGATAGGGTGAACGCATGAACCTTTTTGGTGTGCTAATTCTAAAAGTACACAGGATAAGATCAGAGGCCTATCTGACCTACCATTCTGTTTGCACAACAGTGGCCAAGGAAATGCCTATGGGAAGCCCACATGGGTGGACAATGTTTCCTCCCACTCATGTTCTCCAGCAATAGGCACGCCAGGGCACTTCATAACTAGCAAGCTATTGATAGCCTAATCCTCCATGAATTCAACTAATCCTCTTCTAAAGCAGTCCAACCTAGTGGTCACCATTACATCACGCAGCAGCAAATTCCTATATAGTTTAACTATGTGCTATGTGAAGAAATGGGAGGTTGGACCTACTACAAAATCCACAGGAGTTGTAATGTGAAACATGTACAGGTCACCAGCTTTCCTACATTGTCATGTAATCAAGAGCTGCAACCTTGTGATAGGTTCACCTTAAGGTCACCATAAGTTGGAAATAATTGAACACATATAGCAAATTAAGGCAAAGCTAAACCTTTTGAAATTATTTCAATTAACTGTGTTGTTGCAAGTGTCATACTTTTTGGTTTGCTTATATTTAAAAGGTTTACAGTAGTCGATTCATCCCTTGAAATTCATCAAAACAAATCATTTCTTTAGAACATTGAAAACAATTACAAAGAAACAAACACTGAACTGAGCACACCATCAAATACAAAGTGTTATAAACTCCCCTCTCCATGCCAAACACTGCTTCCGTAGAGAAATGCATGGCCTAAGTTTGCCACATTTTTCCAGTCTCCTTTGACAATAAAAATGCATTTTAATTAGAAAAACTACACAAGACTCATAGTCTACCAGTGCCCTCTAGAGTAAGAAATTGCTTATTCTAGTTACACGTGACAGAACAAAAAGAAATAAAAGGAGACATCAGAAGAGAAACTAGCCTTGCAACCAGCCTTCATGCTCACCTTAAAATGCAGTTAAGTTTGGAGAGTTGAAGGGCTCCTTGTTCTCATACAAAGCAAAGCACTTTCTGGGTTACTTTATCCCAAAAGTGAAACAACAAAGCTCTGGTTTCAGAGGTCCTTGCTAAAGCATGCTGCACCTACACTATAGAATTAATGAAGTTTGACACTGTTGGAATTTAACCCCACACTGCCCAAGTCTCAAGTCCTCAATAAGGAACAGTTTCGTTAGGTTAGTTTAGACCAGTGGTCCTCAACTTTCCTAATGCGGCGACCCCTTAATACAATTCCTCATGTTGTAGTGACCCTCAACCATAAAGTTATTTTCGTTGCTATTTCATAACAGTAATTTTACTACTGTTATGAATGGTAATGTAAATATCTATATGTAGGATGCATTTTCATTCACTGGACCAAATTTGGCACAAATACCCAATGCGCCCGAATTTGAATACTTGTGGAGTTTCGGGGAGGAGGGGAATGATTTTGTCATTTGGGAATTGTAGTTGATGGGATTTATAGTTGACCTACTATCAAAGAGCATTCTGAACTCCACCAACGATGGAATTGAACTAAATTTGGCACACAGAACTCCTATGATGAACAGAAAATACTGGAAGGGTTTCTTGGGCATTGATCTTGAGTTTTTGGAGTTGAAGTTCACATACATCCAGAGAGAACTGTGGACTCAACAATGAAGGATCTGGACCAAACATGGCACAAATTCTCAATATGCCCAAATATGAATGCTGGTGCAGTTTGGGGACATGTCCCTTGACATTTGGGAGTTGTACTTGCTGGGATTTCTATTTCACCTGCTATCAAAGAGCACTCTGAATCCAGCCCATAATGGATCTGCACCAAACTTGGCACACTACCGACATGGCCAATACTGAATACTGGTGTGATTGTTTTTGAATTCTGGGAATTGTAGTTCACCAACATCAAAAAGGAAGAGAAGGACATGTGGGGAGATCTTCAGCCTTCTCTGCCAAAAGGGTTCCTATGACCATCAGAAATATGTGTTTTCCACTGGTCTTTGGAGACCCTTCTGGAAACCCCTCGCAACCCCCCCCCCCAGGGGTCCTGAACCCCAGGTTGAGAAACACTGGTATAGACTAAGGGTTTCCCTTCCCCATGTCTCCTGCATGACAGTTGGGAATGTATCTATTTTGTTCTTTCTCTCTCACTCACTGTTTCTGCTCTCATTCTGATTGGGATACTTTTACTGCAAGCTTTTTAAAATCTAACTTCTGTTTTTCTTACATCAGAGTATGTGCTGTGTGCTTTGAGATCTCTCTCTGCTTGTGTGTCAGAGAAATGTAGTGCTTGGATGATTTTTCCCTCTCTTGAAACCTTAGAAGAGATAGGTGTTAAGAGTAGCTCAGACCCATTTCTTGATTATTAAAAAATGCAGTTATTTCTTATTATTGTAAATAAACCTTTTGTGATTTTTGAGATTGGACTCTGCATCTTTGCCTGCTTAAGCTCCAAATTCTTTACACCCACAACCAATGGCACTTCACTCTCTGCTAGCTAATGGGCTCATGCTCAATTTTGGTATCCTGTTTAATTTTTGGATGCTCTGCTATATTTTAGAGTAGTTTTCCCTAACAGACATCACTTTCACTGCCATAGCTCAATGTTGCGAAATAATGGGAGTTGTAGTTAGATGAGGCACCATCACTATTTGGCAGAAAAGGCTAAAGATTATAACTCCCATGATTCCATAACATTAAGCAATAACAGTCGAAGTGGTGTCAAACTAATTCCACGGTATAGATGCACTTTTCCCTGACTCACAGATGTTCACGGATCACCTCTGCAAAAGCTCCTGAGAACTCTCAGATTTGGTTTGCAGCAAATTAGAATTACAGATTGCTTTGAAATATCCATCAAGTACAATACAGATGACAGTTTATATAGTAAGAGAATACCAAGTCTTACCTTCAGTAGTTACACAACTTATTCACTGGGATGTTAAAATTCCTCTAATCAAATATTTGGCAGTTGAGTACAAATCTGTAAGAAAATTGAGGAGGTCTATTACACAATCATTTCATTAGCCCCTAAAGGTGCATTCATCAAAATTGTTATTTTACCTTTCTGCAAGAATAGAATTAACAGAATAAAACTTTTATGATGTCAGATTGAAAAATATATGAGCAATACATCGTGGGACTGAAGTATCCAATTTCTAATATGGAGTTACTGCAACTAAACAGAATTTGAGAACGTGAGAATTAGATGTTTTTCCTGCTTCCCTTCTGAAACAAAGACATGACCAATATTTAGTATTTTCAAATATATTTGTATTAAAAATCTTATTCAATTTAAAGACAAAGATGTAGGAACTCCAAAGAATATGGAGTCCTACATACATTGTTACCAGAGCCACTGGCAATTAGCAGTTCAATCACATCTGAGTGGCTTCATGGTGTCCATCTTTTCTATAAACTGAAGTGGGTTTCTTAAGGGAAGACTTTTGATCCAGTTGAGAAATCACAATGGGGGTCAATCTGAGTATTGTGTATTATTCCTTCTACAATCCACTATGGCTCCCTTCCTAAGCCTGGCATGATGGCATGATCAAAGGATTGGACAGATCATTTGCCATTTTGAGAAAAAGATAACTATGCAGATCTAAACCACTATGTTTTTCTGTGATAAGTAAGTTTCTCAATATATAGCTTTTATTTTCAAGGTGTTCTAAGTGAAATTTTGTTTTTTTACATTTCTGAGCTAATTATTTAATTCTGCACTCAATGTTGATAGCGGTTTATACATTTATGGCTTAGTTATGGGGATTATAATAAAATTCTTAATCCTTCCCTTCCAATGCTCAATATATAGATAATTCACACACACACACAAAGATAAAACCACAGTTTGCATTCTCAGTTAAAATACATTTAAACTTATCGATCAAGGCATTTGAAAAAAGGATGTTGGTTTTCACCTATGACACATCTGTTTCCAGCAGATAAGGGACAAACCTCTTGCAGATTTGGTTTGCTCCTGCCGTGTCCTCCAGATAGACAGAAAAAAGGAAAAATCTTCCAGTCTCAAGTGGAGAAGGAAGTCTTAGAACTTCAACACATTTTTAACACTTTAAGATGGGACAAGCAGTTTGTCTCTTATCTGCTGGAAACAGACACATAACAGGTAAGAACCAATGTTCCTTTTGCAGATAAGGGACCAACATCTTGCAATTGGGATTTACTGGTGGATGGCTGATTTAGGGAAGGTGGTGCTGTCATTCTAATGGCTGAGGATTTAACTACTTCTTGTAGTACTCTCCTACCAAAAGCAACTTTGTCAGAATCAAAGCTGTCATGTTTATAGAGTTTGATGAATGTGGAAAATAACTTCCATATGGCTGTGCTGTAGATTTCTGTCAATGGTGTGTTAGTGGTCAAGGCTACAGAAGTTGCTATACTCCTGTTGGATTGTACCATGACATCCCTCAGGGGTGAGAAGAAGCAATTCCAGAACCTCATAACTAAAGGAAATGCACAAGCTGATCCATCTGCTTGAGGTGGAAGTGGAGACCTTCTTGCCCTTGGAAGGCTTGAAGGAGAGGAACATCAGACTATCAGAAGCTACTTCTCCTCTTTTGGTAGGTTTGGATGGCTTTGTGCTCATCCAAGGCATGTGAGATATTTTCCATCAGTTTTGATGATTGTGGGCAGAAGGCTGGAAGGATCTCCACTCACTGGAAATTGGTGTTGACCTTGGAGACAAAGGCTGGGTCTAACCGCAGCATTACTGAATCATATCTGTGCACTGAGAATATGTTTAACTCTGTCAATGCTTTTATGACAATAGGAAGTCTCCAGGATAGGAAGTGGTGCACTGTAGGTGGGGCAAAGTTGATCAAGCTTTTGAGGAAACCACACACATGGGCATGTGAGATCTTTAGTGTTTCGATGGGATGCTACATCCAGAGGCTAAGACAGTATTCATAGTTATTTACCATGTTTTGCTTAATCTCCAGGTGTGAATCAATAGTCAGTAGCTCATAAAATTCATGTAGTATTCTAGTGTCACTGAGGGCAATCACTTTCTGGCTCTCCTTGGTTCAAAGTAGAGAAGCCCTGGCCAAGATGAAGGCAGATTCCCTGATGTACCTTCTTGTCCTGAGCCATCTCAGCTTGGAAAGCAGGGGATGACTATCAGGACACCTGTAGCTAGGTCTGTGTAGGAATAGGTTGCAGATGTCTGCACTGCTATAATTCAGGAGAAAGCTCAAATCCTGGTGTAGAATGTGGATTCCTCACACCACATTAAATTGCTTTCCTCTGGTTTAATCAGATGTGTATTTTGCGGACACCCGCAGACTGATCCAAACTCATGCTGACCTAAATAGTCAGTGTAGATGGGACCTAAGTCCTGACCTTCATCCTCCACTAGGGCTCTTTAGACGTCTTCTTGCATGTATGACTAACATTCCAGAAATGGACATTGTCACCCTTGACCCATGCAGCTTTGCTTGAAACGGAGCCAGATCAACTACTGCACATCAGGCTGTAAAGGGTGTTCCGTGCCCAACAGGGTCCCAAATGTCATCAAGAGCTGGGAATGGGGGAAGTGACCCAATGCCTGCCTGCCTCTGGTCTACACTTCCAGAGGGTTCCTGTACTGCTTGTGGAGAAAAGACACCTGCAGTTGTGATAGTAGTGGTTTTCTGGGCAATAATAGTCCTAGGCCTGTTTCAGGCTGGACAGAGACCACCTGATAAAGCAGTGGTATGGAGTTGTTTATTCCCAGTTGCCTGTTCCCATTCTCCTTGGTCCTCTCCAATGCGGACTCCTGTGATCCTGCTGCTAATGGGAGGCAAAAGATTTGGAGATGTGAGAGGCACTAGAAATCTCTCCCCAGTCCTTGGAACCCCTTACTATGCTGCACTTCCCTTCATGCTCAAAAAGAAAGAAAAATAGAGAGGGATGGAAAGGGGAGGGGGCAGAAAGCCAAGGATGGAAAGAAAGATTCTGAATTATAAGGAAACAGAATCTTTTTTAAAAATTAAAGGAGGGATGAAGTAAGGTAAATGAAGGGAAAGTCACAGATTTTAAAAGGAAAATAAGGACTGTAACCGCTATTGAAATGAGATCAATGACGATCATATTCTATCTAACCAAGGTCTTTCTGGGTTGCTGTGAGTTTCCTGGGCTGTATGGCCATGTTCCAGAAGCATTATCTCCAGACATTTCGCCCACATCTATGCCAGGCATTCTCAGAGGTTGTGAGATCTGTTGGAAACTAGGCAAGTGGGGTTTATATATCTGTGGAATGTCCATGGTGGGAGAAAGAAATCTTGTCTGTTTGATGCAAGTGTGAATGTTTCAATTGGCCACATTGATTAGCACTGAATGCAGCTTCAAAGACTGGCTGATTCTACCAGGGGGAATTCTTTGTTGGGAGGTGTTACCTGGCCCCTATTGTTTCATGTAAGGAATTCCCCTGTTTTCTGAGTGTTGCTATTTATTTACTGTCCTGATTCTAGAGTTTTTAAATACTGGTAACCAGATTTTGTTCAGGAGAAAGGTCTTTCTTTTTCCTGCCTATCTGAAGCAAGTGGGAGGAACAAGCTCAATATTATTATATTGTACTACATTATTACACCGCAATGTATAGAATAAACTACTAGCCTATTACACTATTAGTGTTATATAAAATATTGTACTATATCATGTTGCAATTTATACCATATATATTGTATATGGTATATATCGTATATACCATATACAATATATTATATTACAACATTAATATTGGGTTGTTGTAGGTTTTTCCGAGCTATATGGCCATGTTCTAGAGGCATTTTCTCCTGACGTTTCGCCTGCATCTATGGCAAGCATCCTCAGAGGTAGTGAGGTCTGTTGGAAGTAGGAAAATGGGTTTATATATCTGTGGAATGACCAGGGTGGGACAAAGGACTCTTGTCTGCTGGAGCTAGGTGTGAATGTTTCAACTGACCACCTTAATTAGCATTTGATGGCTTGGCAGTGCCTGGGGGAATCTTTTGTTGAGAGGTGATTAGATGTGCCTGATTGTTTACTCTCTGTTGTTTTGCTGTTGTAATTTTGAGTTTTTTAATACTGGTAGCCAGATTTTGTTCATTTTCATGGTTTCCTCCTTTCTGTTGAAATTGTCCACATGCTTGTGGGTGTCAATGGCTTCTCTGTGTAGTGTGACATGGTGGTTGTGAGAGTGGTCCAGCATTTGTGTTCTCAAATAATATGCTGTGTCCAGGTTGGTTCATCAGGTGCTCTGCTATGGCTGACTCCTCTGGTTGAAGTAGTCTGCAGTGCCTTTCATGTTCCTTGATTCATGTTTGCGTTTGGTGGTCCCTATGTAGACTTGTCCACAGCTGCATGGTATACGGTAGACTCCTGCAGAAGTGAGAGGATCCCTCTTGTCCTTTGCTGAACGTAGCATTTGTTGGTTTTCTTGGTGGGTTTGTAGATTGTTTGTATGTTGTGTTTCCTCATCAGCTTCCCTATGCGGTCAGTGGTTCCCTTGATGTATGGCAGGAACACTTTTCCTCTGGGTGGATCTTCATCTTTACTCTCGTGGCTTGTTCTTGGTCTTGCAGCTCTTCTGATGTCTGAAGTGGAGTCTCCATTGGCCTGTAGAGTCTGACATGGTGGTTGTGAAAGTGGTCCAGCATTTCTGTGTTCTCAAATAATATGCTGTGTCCAGGTTGGTTCATCAGGTGCTCTGCTATGGCTGACTTCTCTGGCTGAAGTATGAAAATGAACAAAATCTGGCTACCAATATTTAAAAAACTCTAAAATTACAACAGCAAAACAACAGAGAGTAAACAATCAAGCACATCTAATCACCTCTCAACAAAAGATTCCCCCAGGCACTGCCAAGCCATCAAATGCTAATTAAGGTGGTCAGTTGAAACATTCACACCTAGCTCCAGCAGACAAGAGTCTTTGTCCCACCCTGGTCATTCCACAGATATATAAACCCAATTTTCCTAGTTCCAACAGACCTCACTACCTCTGAGGATGCTTGCCATAGATGCAGGAGAAAATGCCTCTAGAACATGGCCATATAGCCCGGAAAAACCTACAACAACCCAGTGATTCCTGCCATGAAAGCCTTCGACAATACATTGAACATTAATATTACATATAACATTATGTAATTAAATATATTATATATAAAATTAATGTAACATAATATAACATATAATGAAGGCCTGCTCCTCGTCCCAATTGGAAGCCAACAGGCCTGGCAGAGGACCCGCGGCCTTTTCCCAACCACAGGCCCTCAGCCTGCTTGTTTCCCTCCCTCCAGAGAGGCCTTGGTCCCGCCCCGAAGCCGCATCCTTACAGCAAGGACGTCTCTTCTTCTTCGTCGTCGTGTTCTGGGTGACGGGGGGTATTCGCATTCCCACGACTGACTCCTTTTAGGCCTTCATCCCTTCAGCTTCAAGCGCCAGGCAAAGCACAGCACCAACTTCCGTTCCCCCAAAGTACCCCGGTCCTACGCCTTCTCCTTTCCGCCGCTCCACTTCCGGTCGGAGGCAACAACAACCACAGTTCTGTGTCAAAGAGGTAGAGGCAGCCCTACGAGACAGTTTGAATCGACACTTCCGGATTCTCAGCGCAGCTCTTTGAATCCTTCAAACCAGGCCTGGGCAAACTTGGGCCTCCAAGTGTTTTGGACTTCAACTCCCACCATTCCTAACAGCCAGGCCCTTTCCTTTTCCCCCTCAGCCGCTTAAGGCTGGGGGAAAAGGAAGGGGCCTGGGGCTGTTAGGAATGGTGGGAGTTGAAGTCCAAAACTCCTGGAAGGCCCAAGTTTGCCCCATTGAAAGAAGGCATATTTACAGATTTCGTTCTCAATGTCATAAATTATGCCTCGTCCAGGCATGATTTACTAGTGTTTTTAAATTGGAAGGTTAAACGAAGTGCTGGGGCGTCGACAAGGAACCGGTGCTATAGATGTAATGACATCGAGACCAATCCCCTTGGGCGACTGTGCAGCCTGAAGCCAGGCAATAAAAAGGCGCAAAGGACAGAACGGGGACTGCAGAACCTTGTGAGGCAGCGCCCCCTGCAGGTTGACCGAGGAAGAAACCTATTCGCAAACACTACTTGATATCTAGGTTCTTGTGGGTTTTTTCGGGCTATAGGGCCATGTTCTAGAGACATTTCTCCTGACGTTTCGCCTGCATCTATGGCAAGCATCCTCAGAGGTAGTGAGGTCTGTTGGATAGGACAATGGGTTTATATATCTGTGGAATGGCTGGGGTGGGGCAAAGAGCTCTTCTCTGCTGGAGCTATGTGTGAATGTTTCAACTGACCACCTTCATTAGCATTTGAAGGCCTGGCTGAGCCTGGGAAAATCTTTTGTTGAGAGGTGTTAAGATGTGCCTGGTTGTTTCCTCTCTGCTGTTTTGCCGTTGTAATTTTAGAGTTTTTTTTAATACTGGTAGCCAGATTTTGTTCATTTTCATAGTCTCTTCCTTTCTGTTGAAATTGTCCACATGCTTGTGATTTCAATGGCTTCTCTGTGTAGTCTGACATGGTGGTTGTTGGTGTGGTCCAGCATTTCTGTGTTCTCAAATAATATGCTGTGTCCAGGCTGGTTCATCAGGTGCTCTGCTATGGCTGACTTCTCTGGTTGAAGTAGTCTGCAGTGCCTTTCGATGTTCCTTGATTCGTGTTTGGGCAATGCTGCGTTTGGTGGTCCCTATGTAGACTTGTCACAGCTGCATGGTATACGGTAGACTCCTGCAGAGGTGAGAGGATCCCTCTTGTCCTTTGCTGAACGTAGCATTTGTTGGATTTTCTTGGTGGGTTTGTAGATTGTTTGTATGTTGTGTTTCCTCATCAGCTTCCCTATGCGGTCAGTGGTTCCCTTAATGTATGGCAGGGACACTTTTTCTCTGGGTGGATCTTCATCTTGACTCTCGTGGCTTGTTCTTGGTCTTGCAGCTCTTCTGATGTCTGAGGTGGAGTATCCATTGGCCTGTAGAGCCCAGTTGAGGTGGTTCAGTTCATCTTGGAGGAGGTGGGGTTCGCAGATTCTTTTTGCACGGTCTGCCAAGGCTTTAATGGTGCTTCTTTTTTGACTTGGGTGATGGTTGGAGTTTTTGTGTAGATATCTATCTGTGTATGTGTGGGTTTTCTGTAGACGGTGTGACCCAATTGTTGATCTGGTTTGCGGATGACTAGGACATCTAGAAAAGGCAGTATTCCTTCCTTTTCTTTTTCCATAGTGAACTGGATTTTTGGGTGGATGCTGTTAAGATGGTCCAGGAACCTGTTGAGTTCTTCTTCAGTTCTACTTGATATCGATTATAGGTTTTTGTCTATTGACTACAGTAGTTGTGGCAGAAGACTCTTTTTCATAGTGTGTGTGTGTGCTGTGCTTTCTATTCTCATTGTTATGTTTTCAGTGATTTGAGAAAGTTTTAGCTTGTGGTTTAACTTGTGGATTTGATTATTTTTATTTATTTTGTGTCAAAAGTATTGCATAAATAAATAAGTTTATTTATTTATTTATTTATTTACCGATTTATTTATTTGGAGCCCCCGGTGGCGCTGTGGGTTAAAGCGCTGAGCTGCTGAGCTTGTTGACCGAAAGATCGCAGGTTCGATTCTGGGGAGAGGTGTGAGCTTCCGCTGTCAGCCCTAGCTTCTGCCAACCTAGCAGTTCGAAATCATGCAAATGTGAGTAGATCAATAGGTAACGGCAGGAAGGTAACGGCGCTCCATGCAGTCATGCTGGCCACATGACCTTGGAGGTGTCTATGGACAACGCCGGCTCTTCGGCTTAGAAATGGAGATGAGCACCACACCCCAGAGTCAGACATGACTGGACTTAATGTCAGGGGACAACCTTTACCTTTTATATATATACTATATTTGTATACCGCCTTTCTCAGCACTCAGGCAACTCAGGGCAGTTTACAGAGGCAACGATTCGATGCCCAAGAATATCATAAAACATTTAAAACATTAATACATAGTATAAAACCATAACAAGAGTAATAAAAAACATAAACCATTTGCATCTCCTAATTAAAAGCATTGTCCATCTCGTCGTTCCGTCATTCCAAGTTCCTTTGTCTTTTACATTGCATTTTCAAACGCTTGCTTTTAATTAATGTAATTATGTTATTGTTTATTGTTTGCGTTTTCGGTTGTGTCTTGGTTTTTCTTTACTGTAATTGTTGTTTCGGGCTTGGCCTCATGTAAGCCGCTCCGAGTCTCTATCGGGGAGATGGTGGCGGGGTATAAATAAAGATTATTATTATTGTTATTGCTTGAACAGCCAGGTCTTGACTCTTTTCTGGAATGTTATGAGGGAAGGGGCCGATCAAATGTCCCTAGGAAGGGCGTTCCATAGCTGAGGGGCCACCACCGAGAAGGCCGTGTCTTTCATCCCTGCCAAACGTATTTGTGACACAGGTAGGATCGAGAGCAGGGCCTCCTCGGAAGATTTTAAAGTCCTAGCAGGTTCGTAAGGGGAGATGCATTCAGAGAGATAAGTTGGGCCAGAGCCTTTTAGAGCTTTATAGGCTAAAGCCAGCACTTTGAATTATGACCGGTAGCAGACCGGCAGCCAGTGGAGTTGGCGCAACAGAGGAGTTGTATGCTCTTTGAGCTCCGCTCCCGTTAGTAATCTGGCTGCCGTCCGTTAGACCATTTGAAGCTTTAAAACTGATACAATAAAGGGAGCACAGCAGCTAAATAGTTTAGACCAAAAACAGGCAACAGTGACTGCATTGTCTGTAGCTTTAAACAGTTCCTCTGTGCATGAGGCAGGGCATGGTGGACAAGCATACAGATGCAGAGTTGTTTGTTCTGCTCCACAGTCGCACAAGGTGAAGGATTCTTCTAGGTAAGCGGTTCTCAACCTGTGGGTCCCCAGGTGTTTTGGCCTTCAACTCCCAGAAATCCTAACAGCTGGTAAACTGGCTGGGATTTCTGGGAGTTGTAGGCCAAAACACCTGGGGACCCACAGGTTGAGAACCACTGTACAGTAGTGCCATTTTGCCTGGTTGTCTTTTTATCTGCTCGCTCCACTTCTGAGTCTATTCAGGGACTTCCAAGTTGCTCATTCTTGGTTTGCCCATAGAGGAAGATCCTCATGGGGGGCCACCCAGTTGGAATTGCTTGATTTTGCTGCCCAGAGGGATATTCTTGCTGTTGCTGAAGGAACATTAAGAGGAGTGGTGGTTCTCATGAAGCTTTTCTTTAATTTGAGTTTACTGGGAGGAGGCTGATATTTTGGAGCATAAAAAATCAGTTGGTGAGTGTGTTAACTGGAAAATGCAAAGCATGAAGCTGATTAGGTTCTTGTGGGTTTTTTCGGGCTACAGGGCCATGTTCCAGAGGCATTTCTCCTGATGTGCCTGGTTGTTTCCTCTCTGCTATTTTGCTGTTGTAATTTTAGAGTTTTTTAATACTGATAGCCAGATTTTGTTCATTTTCATGGTCTCTTCCTTTCTGTTGAAATTGTCCACATGCTTGTGGATTTCAATGGCTTCTCTTAACACCTCTCAACATAAGACTTTCCCAGGCTCAGCCAGGCCTTCAAATGCTAATGAAGGTGGTCAGTTGAAACATTCACACCTAGCTCCAGCAGAGAAGAGCTCTTTACCCCACCCCAGCCATTCCACAGATATATAAACCCATTGTCCTAATTCCAACAGACCTCACTACCTCCGAGGATGCTTGCCATAGATGCAGGCGAAACGTCAGGAGAAATGCCTCTGGAACATGGCCCTATAGCCCGAAAAAACCCACAAGATCCTAGTGATTCCAGCCATGAAAGCCTTCGACAATACAATGAAGCTGATTGGTTGGGCTTCGCCTGAGAAGCTGGCTCAGCCTGGAGTTTTGGTAAACCCCTGTGCTGCTGAACTGCTGATCTCAAGGTAGGCAGTTCGAATCCGTGGGACGGGGTGAGGTCCTGCTGTTAGCCCTAGCCCCTGCCAATCAAGCAATTTGAAAACATGCAAATGTGAGTAAATAAATAGGTAACCTTTCAGTGGGAAAAGGCAAGGAGATGCTCTAAGCCAGTGGTTCTCAACCTGGGGTTCCCAGATGTTTTTGTCCTACAACTCCCAGAAATCCCAGCCAGTTTACCAGCTGTTAGGATTTCTGGGAGTTGAAGATCAAAAACATCTGGGGACCCCAGGCTGAGAACCACTGCTCTAAGCAGTCTTGCCGGCTACCTGACAAGGATGTGACTGCAGGCTCCTCAGCTTGAAAATGGAGAAGAACACCTCCCCCAAACCAGAGACAAACACTGCCTCCAGAAGCCAGAAATGAAAGAAGAAGCCTTTGCCTTATCCGTGTTTGTGTGTCTCATTGTATGTGATTGTAAGGCATTGAATGTTTGCCTATGTCTACTGTAAATGCTGTAAGCCGTTCTGAGTTCCCAGGGGAGAAGGGTGGAATATAAATAAAGTGTATTATTATAATTTCAAAACTTTGAATCTTGGTCATTTTGAAGGTATAGACACTGTATTTTTTAAAAGAATGGTAACCACCACAGAATTGCTTTCACAGTGTTTATATTTAGCATATCGGTAAGCTTTTGCTACAAGTTACCTCGCCCCTTCCTGCATAATTATTGTTTAAAAATTCCTTATACAAAATGCAATAGGTTTAAAAAAACAGACAGAGACTGTATTGTATTGGAACAGCTAAAGGGGGGAGGCAAGTCCCAAGAGCCCTGAGGGTAATAATGCATTCCAGCAAAAAGGGGAGGAAGAGAGTCAAACATGTTATATGCACATTTTCATGCGACAGACAAGTCGTAGGGGAAGCCAAAAACTCCAGAAAAAGTCCTATAAATAAATGCTGTTAGATTCTTATTGAAATGCAAGATCAGGACAAGATTGCACCATGTACTATGCAAATAGGAAGACCCTGATGGGATGATTCAGTGCATAATGTTAATTTACCATCAGGGTGAAAAGTGGCAGGGAAAATTGGTCTCCCTTGAAACAGAACAAAACAATAGTCAACATTGCTGAGATTAACACTTAATGTCACATTTTCTCCAACACTTGCAGTAAACAAGAAGATGTCTTTCATTTTTCAAAAGTTCCTGTACATATTTAGAAAATAAAATTAAAACAAGTATATGTGCAAAAATATTTACAGATTTCGTTCCCAATGTCATAAATTATGGCTCGTCCAGGCTTGTTTTAAAATTATCAAGAATACAGACGTTCTATCCAAAAAGGAGATAGAAAATATAAACCGCCACTTGAGGAAAAATGTAGTAATTGTTGACTTTTCCTTTTGGTAAAAAATCCCAACTGCAGCAGCTGAAGATCACAAGTCTTCTTCACTTATCTTCTCAAACACACAGTCGTCGTCGTTTGATCTACTAGTTGTTATCTTTTTTCTTGACTTAAAACCGGAATGAAATATCTGCACAAAAGCAAAGATATGTTAAAAAGTTAACCATATATGAAAAACATTGGTATTGGGATAAAACAGAGTGCCTGAACCAAATTTATGAAACCAACAAAAAAAGATTATCGGAGAACTACATAACTGTTGGGGAGATCAACAGCAATGCTCAAACGATATACTAGAAGGTTGCAAAATCTGACACAACAGATAGCTATACTATTTGTGCAGTAAGGAACAGAACAATACAATCTTGCATAAAAAAATAGCAATAATTAGCATGTATATCACACTGTCATATGCTCACAGTAATACATTTCAGTAGCATTATTAATTCTTGCAAGAAATAAGTAAGGTAGGCAGGTCAGAAAGGTAGATAATAGGACAGCAACATGTCACCTCTTGCAATGCATTTTTAAAAAGGTAAATAAATCAAGGACTTCCTGATTTACTATACTGATACTATGCTATTTCAGCAATTTAGCTTCAGAGATTCAGAAATTAAAAATGTAGATTTTGGAGACCAACATTTCTCCCCTCCACCAGCACTGGAGTTATAATATGCATATATAACAGGCATGGGCAAACTTTGGCCCTCCAGTGTTTTGGAATTCAACTCCCACAATTCCTGACAGCCTCAGGCCCCTTCATTTTCCCCTCCTCATCGTCAGAAAAGGGTTTTCCACCCAGGTGTTCCTTCAATAGTCACTGGGTGCGAGATTGCAGCTGTGAGAGTGCTGGCTTAAAATATCCCAACCAAATGAAGTCAACAACTCTTGTGTTGCATGAGTGGTGTGCGGACACGTATTGTCATGAAGGAGACAGACTCCTGTTGTCAGCATCCCACAACATTTGTTTTGGATGGCTCTACGAAGTTTCTTCATTGTCTCACAATATATTCTGTTCCCATTTTGTCACATGTTGTCTTGACATTATGTCCTCTCCATAAACTGAAACGATTTTGCAATGAATCGCAGTGGCATTCTCATGCCCTTAGCATTCAGGTAGCATATTACAGAGTGAACTCACACTTGGAGGGAAACAGAATGAGGATGCTCATCTCTAACCTTCACCACAACACCAGTTGATGAGCTACTGAAGACTGGCACTGCTCATTCGCTTCTGCTGCCTTCCCACTACACAACAGTGACACCAACTTCCCCTGCGAAAATTCCCCGGGAGAACTACATGCCTTGTAACCATACTTTCCAGATAATCCTCGTACATGTGATATTTATTAAAATGGTTATATCCTGCCCTATATCTGAAGATCACAGGGTGGTTTACAATATAATTTTATCATTTTAAACAATAAATGATAACTATTTTTTTTAAAATATGAAACATATTTTAAATAGTTTACCACTTACAAACCAGACAAACTTTTCCAACTTCCATCTATTTGCATCGCTATGATATCAATACAGAGGGCTTGGTTCCAGGACTCACATATACAGAAACTGTTGATGCCAAAATCCATAGATACTCAAGTTACATTATATGCAATGGCATAGTAAAATGACATCCCTTATATAAAATGGCAAAATCAACGTTTTCTTTTCGGAATTTAAAATAAATATATTTTCAAGTCATATACAATTGAATCCATGGATACAGAATCTGTAGAGGGCCAACTGCATATAGGATTACAAAGAATGCATGCAAGCAGCTCTGTACAAGTGTATCAACCATCACTATATCTCTGTCATCCTACCCAATCTCATCTCTGCCCAATTAACAACATTAAATTCACAAACCTGACTTGGATGGATGCTTGCTTTCTTTGCTTTTTCTGGTTCAGGAAGCTCAATCTGCTGAAACAGATCATTAAATGAAAACATTTGTTTTACCAAAACAGAGACGCAAACAAGCAGCGAACCATTCAATGTTATTTCAGATAACGAAATTGATTGACTACATTACAGTGGTTTCTTTTTTCATGTTATGGGCATGATATCAACTGATTATCATGAATGTTTGGCATCAATACTGGGCTGAATTGAGGTATGCTGAGGTACCAAACTGTATCATATCAATCTTGTAAAATGATTTTTCTTTATTTGGTATTTGGGTACCTAATAGTCTAAGGACATGATGCAGGAAGATGGCAAAGGCTAGCAACTTCACCAAGTCCCTCCCTCCATTTCTACACAATTTTAGAACACTTCACAGATGAAGTACCACGGAGTCCATGATGTGATGTCCACATTACTTCATCTGTGTGGGGAAATGTGGGCAACTGGAGCCAGGGACAAATCATCTTCTGAGCTCCTGATTTGCATGGAAATGGTAAGGTAAAGGTTTCCCCTTGACATTAAGTCTAATGGTGTCTGACTGTTGCTGTGGCCCAGTCTGTGTATATGTGTTTTGTGTGTGTATATGTGTATATATGTGGTCTTGCACATGCGTTGTAATATATTTTTTTGTTTTTTGGCTTTTTAAGTCTCTTCTGCTATGTTTTTCCGTGTTTTATGAGTGATGGTCACTCGTTGTCCTGATAGGTGTATTGTGTCCAAATTTGGTGTCAATTTGCCCAGTGGTTTTTGATTTATGTTAATCCCACAAACAAACATTACATTTTTATTTATATAGATGGTCACTTGTTGGCCTGATAGGTGTACTGTGTCCGAATGTGGTGTCAATTCGCCAAGTGGTTTTTGAGTTACGTTAATCCCACAAATGAACATTACATTTTTATTTATATAGATGTGTACAATTGTCATTTCCCAATGGTAAAGTGGTAGGATAGACTCTTGTCGACAGGCAAACTGTATTGTAAAACTCTGCTCACCATTTCTTGATCACTTTTGGTTGCTGTCATTAGCTGCTCCGATATTATCTTTTTCAAGCAACTGCTTAGTAGAAATGCCTAAAAGGGTGGGGAGAAAATACATTTTAATTTTGGGTTTTGATTTTTTTTTAAAAGGAGAACAGAGTAGAGGTAACTCCCAGCAAAAGAAGATCTGGTATCCATTTCCATTTCCATTTCCTCACAGGTTTTGTATTTGTATTGTATTCCTGTGAAAACATTGGGCCAACCTTCTCTGGAAGCTGGAGGATAGCAGATTTGGAAGGCTACACTAGAAGGATGCTCCCCTTTAGTCCATCGATAAGTAGCACATGCTTGATTTAAACCAGTGGTTCCCAACCTTTTTTGACCAGGAACTACTTGACCAGGGACCACTTTGACCAGAGATCACTCTCCAACATTAGTGCCAAAAGAGTTACAAATCTGTTTTTGGTTAACTTTAGATTCAGTATGGTTATTTGGGGTGCTGATTCAGAAATCTGCATTTGATAGACCACATCAGCTCTAGTTTCTGATACAGAACATATGCCATTCAGTAGTCATCATCTGTTCAAACACAGAAAGCCATATTTAATAATCTAGAGCTGATGTAGTAGTAGTAACGTTTTGTGGGTAGTCAGCCTCTCCCCTCCCAACATCCCTGTTGCCTCAGCACTATAAGAAGCTTCGCAAGACCAGTCGTTGTTGTCTCAAAAAGCATGATTTTGAGGCAATGGTGTAGTAATGGTGAGGCCGCAGACCATATTTTCATTCTTCCAGACCACTGGTGGTCCACGGACCACAGTTTGGGAACCACTGATTTAAAGAGTTCCATACAGAAGAAGACACCTAGCAATTGTTACTTCTCTTGAAAAGTTAAGAAGACATTTAATTACTTGGATGAGAGAAGTAACTGAAGGGATGTGATAACAGCAGGCCTGGGTCTGCTTCAGTCCTCCAGGTGTTTGGACTTCAATTCCCACAATTCCTAACTGTTAGGAATTGAAGTCCAAAACACCTGGAGGACCGAACTTTGCCCATGAGTGGACTACAGGGTCTTTGTTTCAGATCTTTTGGTTTGCTTTATCTTCCCCACCCTGGGGAGATACCTAGAAAAACATATTTTGAATGTGTTATAGGGAAAAGCAGTTTGGATTTGGAGCAAGCAAACTGCAGCTGGAAAAGGATAACTTACACTCATCCTTTGCCTCTTTTTCCAAAAGTCCCTTCTCCAAAAAAACATTTAGGTCAACTGGGACTGTAATACCTGTACAGTCCCAGGTATTCCTGATGTAAAACATGCACAAAATGCCATTTTGACTCACCCCTGACTCCTTTTTAAAACTTTCACCAGAACAAACCTGTTTTGTGTTGAAGACGATCCATCTCCATGTATCTGAATCATTGTACTCAAACCTGAGTTCCAGAAACTGGTCAAGTCCTTGACCTGTAACAGATCCCTGAGCATTTAAAAGAAAAAAAGGAAAAGACATATACAATGAGGCTGTGCTACTGATTCAGAGATTATCCAATCTGTATTGCTGCTCAATCAAATCTACAAAATAATAATAATAAAAATAAAATCTTGGATATCTCAGTTGTTTCAGTGGCAGCTCACTTGCCCTCACACTTTAATTGTTTTTTAATTATTTTTTTGCAAAAAAAAGGAAAAAATAAATGAAAAAGAAAAAAGAGGAAAAAAAGATATACAAAAGAGCAAGCAAGTTTACAAAATGATATACAGTCAGCACTCATTAACCATGTGAAAAATCATGTTTGGCTGTACAGTTATTATACCTTAACATTTCTTGTCCCTCTATCCCCACACCTGTGAATTCAACCCCCATGACTTCTGACACCCCTAAATTTGGATCACATAATTAACCCACAACTACCCATGTGCCTTCTTTCACTAAATCCCCTTTATGACAATCTTCAAGTCTACCTTTGTCTTCTTTGATACAGAATGGGGGATGCCTGGCTTGAGAGCAGTATGTGAGAAAAAGATCTTGGAGTCCTCGTGGACAACAAGTTAAACGTGAGCCAACAATGTGATGTGGTGGCAAAAAAGCCAATGGGATTTTGGCCTGCATCAATAGGAGCATAGTGTCTAGATCTAGGGAAGTAATGCTACCCCTCTATTCTGCTCTGGTTAGACCACACCTGGAATATTGTGTCAAATTCTGGGCACCACAGTTGAAGAGAGATGTTGACAAGCTGGAATGTGTCCAGAGGAGGGCGACTAAAATGATCAAGGGTCTGTAGAACAAGCCCTATGAGGAGCAGTTTAAGGAGCTGGGCATGTTTAGCCTGAAGAAGAGAAGGCTGAGATGAGATATGATAGCCATGTATATATATCTGAGAGGAAGCCACAGGGAGGAGGGAGCAAGCTTGTTTTCTGCTTCCTTGGAGACTAGGACGCGGAACAATGGCTTCAAACTACAAGAGAGGAGATTCCATCTAAACACGAGGAAGAACTTCCTGACTGTGAGAGCCGTTCAGCAGTGGAACTCTCTGCCCTGGAGTGTGGTGGAGGCTCCTTCTTTGGAAGCTTTTAAACAGAGGTTGGATGGCCATCTGTCAGGGGTGATTTGAATGGATGGCCCATGAGGTCTCTTCCAACTCTTTGATTCTATGATTCCCAGATACCCAAGTGCCTCTCTTTCTCTGTCTCTCTTTCTTTTGCAAATTCTTCATTATTTCCTCCTCTGTTGCTATTTGTAAGCTTGGCCATTTGGATACAATCTACTAATTTATCTTTCCAGCCTTTAATAGTTAACTCTTTTTTTCCCCCTTTCATGTCTTGGCCATTATTAGTCTAGCAAAAACAAAGCAATATCGAAAAATTTCTTGATCTGCTGTGCTAGTACGCCTTCTAAATAGTCCTAATAAGCACATTTCCAGGGTAGTTTTTTAATTTTTTTAATCATATTGTTTGTTTCTTTCACCACTTTATTTCCCAGAATATTTGAACTATGTAATAAGTCCACCATACGTGGAAAAAGGATTCTGTCACCTTCTTACGTCTCCAGCAAACCCCTTGTCCCGTTTTCTCTATTTTAGCCAATAACTCTGGAGTTATGTAAGTTCTATAAAACATTTTAAACATATTTACTAACCCTTTAACTGTTTTTTTTTAATGGTAAAAAGAAAAAGCTGTTTCCACTTCTGTGATTTTGCCTTATGTGCCATGCTCCCTTGCTACCAGATTTTTCAAAAGAAAATTCCCAAGGGAATGCTACCAAATGAACTGTGTTTTGGGACAAGGGTGGTTGTATTTTTGTGGGATTTTTAAGATGACTTCTAGAGCTTGCCCTAAATTGTTCGTGGTAAATATCTTTGGGGAAAATCATAGAATTAGAAGAGTCCACAAGGACCATCCAGTCCATGGCTTAGTATTAGGGAAACAGGGGAGCTTGATCTTTTCTTGCTGCATTAAAAACAGTTATTTTAAGAGAATGGAAATGGAGGAGCAAGTCAAGAGTACACTTTTTCATCACTTAAAATGTTGGGCAAGCAGAGAATCAATTTGACCAGGCTATTTCCACTGAAATATCAAGTTCACAGTTTGGTTATACTGCTGAACTCAGCTTCAAGTCTGAATGTCCAAGTTTTGGCAGCCATTACAAATACATGCACATAATTAAAACGGGTGCACTGATTGTGCCCATTCTTGGAGATGCCAGATCTACTGAAATCCACTGATTACATCCTGTTTCAGTTGCTGTAATGCATTAAATATGGTTCTGTCTTTAGAAAGTTTCCTGAAACCTCCAAAACGCTATGGCCAGATTGATGTCCAGGACTGGGTCACAAGCAACACATATCACTCTTGTTGCAATAGCTTCAAGGGCAACTGGTTTATTTCTGGTCAGAATGCCAAGTATTGGTTATGACTCATGAAGTCCTAGACTGCTTGGCTCCAGACTATCTCAGGTAAGTTCATATAGGGAGATATGAGAAAGCTCATATCTTCCTATATGAACTTACCTTAGTTTTGAAGTCCACAGTGAAAGCCATTTTCTCAATCCCACATTATCACTATGTGTTTCCTCCAAAACCACAGGACTCCCCCCAATGGCTCTCTCTCTCTGCTCTCCAAGACATTTTCCCTAGTCAAATATTTGGCAACAGGCTGGTTGTGCTGAAGGGTCTTTTACTGAATGTTTCATTCTCCTAGTTAGGTTTTAAATGCTTCAATAGGAGCATATGATGCCCCTATTAAAGCAGCTCCACTGGCTGCCAACAGGATTCTGGACTCAATTCAAAGTACAGGTTATCACCTATAAAGCCCTATATGGTTCAAGTCCATATCTTCGAGACAGCATCTCCTTCTACAAACTGACATGGGCTCCGAGATCTGCCGGGGAGGCCCTCCTCTTGGTTCCAACTCCATCTCAAGTACGGATGATGGGGACGAGAGAGGGGGCCTTCTCGGTGGTAGCCCCTCAGCTTTGGAATGCCCTTCCAAGAAAGATCAGGCTAACTCCCACTCTCCAAGCTTTCCGGACTCAATTGAAGAGATGGGTATTTAGACAAGCCTTTGACCATGTTTAGAAATCTTTAATGAACATATTTAAGGACCTAGAGATTATTTCACCTTGCACTTTATGAGGCTGATATTGATTGCAGTTTGTTTTATATCTGCAGCTATTGCTGCATCTTATTAATTTTAACCAGTAGGGTTTTATGGTGTTTGTTGCTTGTTATTGGTTTGTGTTATTGTTTTTTGCACTTGTTGTATTTTCTGTGGGTTCTCGCAAATTTTTCAGGCTGTTCCAGAAGCATTCTCTCCTGACGGTTCACTTACATCTATGGCAGGCATCCTCAGAGGTTGTGAGGTCTGTTGGAAACTAAGCAAGTGAGGTTTATATATCTGTGGCATGTCCAGGGTGGGAGAAAGAACTCTTGTCTGTTTTAGGTAAGTGTGAATGTTTCAATTGGCCACCTTGTTTAGCATTTAATGGCCTAGCAGTTTCAAGATGTGGCTTCTTACTGCCTGGTGGAATCCTTTGTTGAAAGGTGATTAGCTGTCTCTGATTGTTTCTTGTCTGGAGTTCCCCTGTTTTTGAGTGTTGTTCTTCCTTTACTGTCCTGATTTTAGAGTTTTTTAATACTGGTAGCCAGATTTTGTTCATTTTCATGGTTTCTTCCTTTCTGTTGAAATTGTCCACATGCTGGTGGATTTCAGTGGCTTTTCTGTGTAATCTGACATGGTGGTTGTTGGAGTGGTCCAGCATTTCTGTGTTCTCAAACAATATTCTGTGTCCAAGTGTATTTTGTGTGTTTGCACCCTTGAGTGCTTTGTGAGCTACCCCGAGTCCCTTCGGGAGATGGTGGTGGGGTACAAATAAAGATGGTGGTGGGGTACAAATAAAGTATTATTATTATTATTATTATTATTATTATTATTATTATTATTAACCGTCCCCTGCCACGTGTTGCTGTGGCCCAGTCTGTGTATATGTGTTGTGTGTGTGTGTATATATAGTTTTGCATATGTGTTGTTTTTTGGCTTTTTAAGTCTCTCCTGCTGTGTTTTTCAGTGTTTTTATGAGTGATGGTCACACGTTGGCCTGACAGGTGTATTGTGTCCAAATTTGGTGTCAATTTGCCCAGTAGTTTTTGAGTTATGTTAATCCCACAAACGAACATTATATTTTTATTTATATAGATGATGATTATGATGATGATTATTATTACTATTAACCATTCTGAATTAGTGCTGTTTTTAATATTATAGTTTACTTAATTACTTTTTAGCACTTCAATTAAAATCATTTTGTTTAAGTGTACTTTGTTTTCATCTGTGCTGTGATCTACCTTTGGGTGCCATGTTGGAAGAAAGTTGGGACACCAAATAAACCAATCTCCCAGAATCCTCCATCTCCATAGCAATGCCCATCCTGGTTGGAGGATTTTGGGAGCTGTAGTCCAACCAAACAACTTTCCCAAGCTCTGCTCCTTTGTAAAGAAAGGCAGTGATAATTCTCAGTTCTCATCACACACTGTGGTCAAGTACCTGAAAAACACCAAGTTGCTCCCAAGGTACTTACTAGGAATGTGACCTGCCAGCACCTCACCCGGTTGATCTTGAAGCTGACCTCTTTGATCTGGTTACTAGGCAACTTTATGCAGCAGCTAATCTCATTATTTCCAACATGAATAGCAGCCGTACAGCCGACTTCGGGGTAGTCACAAGAGCAAGGATCAAGCTGTATATAGCCATAATGCCGGACCTCCTGAACCAGCTCTAAGAACTGTGCAAGAGAAACAGAAACTGGAGGAGAACAGTGGGTTATATATGACATGATGCAGGAAGATGGCAAGGGCTAGCAACTTCACCAAGTGACTGGTTGAAAAAGTTTGACTGAAAAAGTTACTTATGTAGAGCATAAACCCTAAAGTTCTTTTGATAACGTAACCACGGGCCATATTAGCCAAACCCTTTGGGTTACAGCATACATTATAATTCAATTCCAGACTCTGGTACAGATCTCCTGTGGACATCCAGAAGCTAATAACCGATACTACAGTTTACGACCCCAGGTTTAAAGGGCCCCAGTCCTACATTTAACATGAATGCAGGAGTTCTCCCGCTGCTCACTTTGAAGTAAAAATGTCAAATGCCATATGTTAGGTGGGGAATGATTAATACTTTGAGAAAAATTTGCAGGGCAAGATTCCTAGAGTTGTTCAGCAGTCCATGTTTATTTAATACTCTGCTAGTAATCTGCACAAGGCATTCTTGACAATGTCTTCAAAAAAGGAGCAAAAGTAATTGCTCTACTCTCTTTTTGACAAGGTATTTGTGAACCTCGCATTCGCTGGGATACAAAGCACATGACCCCCATGAAAATGAAAAACTGCAAATTAAAAAAATTACTATTTTTCATATGAGAACATCACTCTCAAACTCTCCAAGTCCTCCAATACAACTCCGTGGTCAACTTTCACTGGAAGATGACCATAGAACCACCATGGAAATTCTTAGAGAACATCAAATCAGTGAATAATCAAATCTGCAACAGTTAAACCTGCAAATGTGGAGGGTCAACTGTCCAGGCTTGGTTTGTATGCTTACATGTTCGGCATTAACCAGGATGGGAAATACGCAGCCCTCTAAATGTTGGTGGACACCAACTCCTATCTGGCCTAATCGGCAAAAATCACAGTGAAGTATCCTAAGAGCTACAGGATCAAATGTTCCTCATCTTTATATTATAGGGGAAATGGCAAAGTAAAATTGCCATTTGTGTTTCTCTGTGAGGCCCCATCTACACTTGTATAAAATCCAGGTTATCTACTTTGAACTGGATTTTATGGCAGTGTAGAGGGGGCCGCAGAAACACAGCAGTTTACATTTCCACTCCTAAACAAATATATGTATAGTACAAGTCGTATTTGAAAAAATGACATTGTTCCAGTAGAGAAATGGAAATGCATAGAGACAGAGATAAGGTTGCACAAATATATGCCAGCATAGTTATATTACACAACCAACTACATAATAGGGTTGCTGTGAGTTTTCCGGGCTGTATGGCCATGTTCTAGAAGTATTCTCTCCTGACATTTTGCCTGCATGTATAGCAGGCATCCTCAGAGATTGCGAGGTTTGTTGGAAACTAGGAAAATGTGATTTATATATCTGTGGAAAGTCCAGGATGGGAGAAAGAACTCTTGTCTGTTTGGGGCCAGTGTGAATGTTGCAATTGATCACCTTGATTAGCATTGAACAGCCCTGCAGCTTCAAAGCTTGGCTGCTTCCTGCCTGGGGGAATTCTTTGTTGAGAGGCAATTAGCTGCCGCTGATTGTTCCTTATCGGGGAATTCCCCTGTTTTTAAGTGTTGTTCATTCTTTACTGTCCTAACTTTAGAGTTTTTTAATACTGGTAGCCAGATTTTGTTCATTTTTATGTTTTCTGTTGGAAATTGTCCACATGCTTGTGGATTTCAATGGCTTCTCTGTGTAGTCTAACATGGTAGTTGTTAGAGTGGTCCAGCATTTATGTGTTGGCAAATAATATGCTGTGTTCAAGTTGGTTCATCAGGTGCTCTGCCTAATTTCCAACAAACCTCACAACCTCTGAGGATGCCTGCCATAGATATGGGTGAAACGTCAGGAGAAAATGCTTCTGGAACATGGCCATACAGCCTGCAAAACTCATAACCCAGTGATTCTGGCCATGAAAGCCTTCGACAACAAACTACATAATAGGCAGTGTGGCCTTGAATCCGCCTACCGAACAATATTCAATTAGTTCCATATTCCCAGGTCAGAAGTGAGAAAAGAACTGTGAGTGCTTTCAAAATGATTGGCTGCCTGGGGACTGCATTTGTGCAACCTCTGCGAAAGCGCAACAGCTTGCATAATGATTTTTTTACGCCAAGCTAGTAACCCAGCTGGAAACCAGGGATAAAGATAGTTGTAAACACATCAGCACAACAGCAAGAACTCCAGTGGACTGGATCTGCCTTCACCTCTTGTCTCTACCTTCAAGCAAATCTTTCAAGTAGAATTGCAACTGCAATCGCTCCTCACTGGAGGCATACGTAGAACAGCTGCATTGGTGGGACAGGACCTCTTAAAACCCTGGGTTTCACTGCATCCACCACTTGCAAAATGAACACAATCTAGTGTCCTGCTCCATTACAGCAGGATTCTCCACCTCCTGATGGTTCCACCTGGAAACGAGTTTAAGAACTTGGAAAAGTGGGGGTTGCACTTCAATCCTATCGTGTTGTGCTTAACTTTGTGCTGTGAGGAGAGGTGGATATCATCATTCTCACACAACTGCTGCTCTTTACAGGGTTATAGTAAGAAAAACAAAAATGGAAATAATTGGATATATTGTATTTTGAGTAACTACGGAGGCTACACTGTAGTCACTCAAAATACAAGGCGTTTCAAAATGATGGACCCAATTTCAAAGCGGTAGTGATTGTATCATATATCCAATACAGTGTGATTTCTGAATACTCTGAAACCACAGATAATAGCAAATTCTATTGGAATGAAGGACTTCTGGCCCAAGAATGCCATAGAATTGCATTACAGGATCTAGAAAATGCCTAAGATGAGCTAACATCTCTCTAGCGCAGGCATGGGCAAACGTCAGTTCTCCAGGTGTTTTGAACTTCAACTCCCACAATTCCTAACAGCTGGTAGGCTGTTAGGAATTGTGGGAGTTGAAGTCCAAAACACCTGGAGAGCCGATGTTTGCCCACGCCTGCTCTAGGAATATCTAGTTTCTCCAGCAATTTCTGTCAGATTGTACTGGAGTACCTAGAGATTTGTTGAATGGTTTCTAGGAATCTCTAAGGCCACTTCTACACTGCCATATAACCTGGATTATCAAAACAAATAATCCACATTGTCCGATCTGGCTTATATGAGTCTACACTGCCAGATAATCCAGTTGAAATCGGATAATCTGGATAATCAGGAGCGCCCGGTGGCGCAGTGGGTTAAATGCTTGTTCTGGCAGGACTGATGACTTGAAGGCTGGGTTGCTGACCTGAAGGTTGCCACTTCAAATCCAACCCAGGGAGAGTGTGGATGAGCTCCTTTATCAGCTCCAGCTCTGTGTGGGGTAATGAGAGAAGCCTCCCACAAGGATGGTAAAAACATCAAAAAAATCTGGGCGTCCCCTGGGCAACGTCCTTGCAGACTGTCAATTCTTTCACACCAGAAGCAACTTGCAGTTTTTTAAGTCGCTCCTGACATTAAAAAATATCTGGATTTTATGTGACAGGCCTCTTCTACAACTCCTCCAGCTTGACTCTATGAGCAATATTTGGTGGAATTTGATGATAGAATGACACTGGAGGACCTGGGGTTTCCTAGAGGAAACATTTTCATCCGATCCATGAACAATCAAATGAACAAATATAGAGGGGTGTCTATAAATGCTGTCGTCATACCATAGCACTGAATTTGAAATGAGCCTATTTAAAAAAAACAAAAAAAAAACCAAGGTGTTACCTTCATTTTGTTTTGTGCCTTTTGGAACATTTGAAGTTTCTGCATCTGCCCATCAGTAGGCCTGAGCCAGTTCTTCTCAATCTCCTGTACAACCTTTTATTAAACACAAAAAGTCAAAAAATTGATATCTCAGTTATCTCTAATTTAATATATTCTTTTCTGAGATGCAAGCAAACCTTGGCCAATAACCCCCTTGAATGGCTTGGCCTTGCTGTTTTACAAGAGTTCTGGTTCTTTTAGTTCAGGCATGGGCAAAATTCGGCCCTCCAGGTGTTTTGGACTTCAACTCCCAAAATTCATAACAAATGGTAGGCTGTTAGGAATTGTGGGAGTTGAAGTCCAAAACACCTGGGGGCGGAGTTTGCGCATACCTGTTCTAGTACCTGCATTACAAAACTAGCAGTGGAGAGAAGTTTCTTGGTAGTTCAGAGATGATATCGCCCATTATTCCTGCTATAGAGCAAGTCCCATTAGGACCACAAAATACTTCTAATGCAAGTATCATTGTTGGCATAACCACAACTCAAATGTCATTTGTTTTCACATATTCTTGCAATGTATTTATATTAATACCTGAGTCTTTATCTTATCATGACAAAATCACGATATAAATGAGAAAATCTGCTGCAATGTCAAGGAAACTGTGTATATCTGATTTTTACAGGAAAAAGGAGCCGAAGAGTACAAAACTCTGCAATGGTATATTGCTTATAATGTTAAATCAGCCCCTCTCTGACTTTTTCTCAGCCAGGATCATGCTTTGCATACCCCAGTGCATAGCAGGGGAGCGACTCTAGGAAGCAAGCCTTGGAGGTGATTTTTAATCATGCTTAGCTATGGATTTCTGCTTTTAACACCACCATCATGCTGGTTTTATATGGCTGAGTCAGCTTAAATACCATATTTCTGCATTCACATCTAGTTTTGCTTTATATTTCCTGTATAGTTTACCTGATTATTATATACATAAAAGCAGTGGGGTGGCATAGTAGCTAGGACATGTTGTCACACTTGCTCATTTAAAAAAAATACTAATTTTAAACAACTTATTTTCCGAAGCACAAAAAAGTGCTTTTTCTAGACGTTACCTGCATGTAGAGTAAATTCACTGCAGTTCTGCAGTCCACAAGCATTTTATCAAGGGAAGGATCCATGTACCTGTCCAGTGAAAGGAATGGGGTTAAAAACATAAACAGAAGAATGTGACATGAGCAAAGAATATATCTAGCAAAAGAAAATAGCAACAAGTGTTGTGCTTAAAATGGCATTTAAGCAACAAATGTTTATGAGAAGGAGCAAACCTGTCTTGCCACGATAGCAGGTTCATTGGTCCACATATTGTAGCACCTGCTGCGAGGCTACCTTCCGAGAATACTGGAAAAAAACTACTGTTAAGTGTGGCAGGAAAAGGTGTGATACCTGCCAACACATCCTTAAGGTACATGTTTTGATTTGTTTCAATTCAAAACATTTACCTAAGACTGGATAATTGGCAAAATATTGGACAATCAATTACCATCTCTCTAAAAGGGCATAAATAATTTGGCAATAATATACATGAGGAGTGTGCAATTTATGGCCTTTCTCATTTTGTTGGATTGCTATTCCCATCATCACTCAACCCATTACAGCCCATAAGTGAAGAAAGCTGCTACCTTCCATTTATAGTGATGCCATGAGTGAGAGACTGATAGGACCCTTTCTACACTGCCGTATAAAATCCAGGTTACCTGCTTTGAACTGGATTATATGGTAGTGTAGACTCCTATAATCCAGTTCAAAGCACATTATCTGGATTATCTGATTTGATAATCTGGATTACATGGCAGTGTACATTTTTATTATTTTACTTCATTTTCTGTATTTGATTTTGTATTAATTTGTTTTGTTTACATTTCACTTGATGTTATTATTTGCAGTTTGTATTTTATTTTGTTTTGTTGTAATTGTTGGGTTTGGCCTCATGTTAGCCGCCTTGACTCCCCATTGGGGAGATGGTGGCGGAGTATAAATAACGTTTTAAAAATTATATTATTATTGTTATTGTTATTATTATTATTATTTGAAACACAACAAGATGAGTCCACAGCAGACAAGATCACTCTGCTGGCTGTTGTATTGGATCACACGTCAGACACTTCCCAAGTGTCTAGGACTGTGTGATGTATCAGCGAATAATGTGTGCAGATCCCAGGAAGGTGGCCTTTTGCAGCTGGCAGATGGCAATTTTGTCAGCGCCAATTGTGTTTAAATGCAGGCCAAGGTCTTTAGGCACTGCACCCAGTGTGCTGATCACCACTGGGACCACCTTGACTGGCTTGTGCCAGAGTCTTTGCAGTTCGATTTTTAAATCCACGTGTCAACTTTTCCAGTTGTTTCTCTTCAATCCTGCTATCACCTAGGATTGCAACATCATCATCATCATGATCATCATCATGATCATCATGTGAAAGGGGCCTAAGAGACCCTCTGATCTGCTCAGGTCTAGCAAACTCAAGTTGAGTTACTTCACCTATAGTACAGTTTTCTGTCTTCTATTGCCTTCAGTTTGACTGAGGATTGTTGTCTTTTCCAATGAGTAATGTTTCTCATGATATGTCCACACTATCAAAATTAAATAATTTTGGCTTCTTGTGAGACTTCAGGCTTAATTTGTTCTCTCTTTTTGGCAGTCCATTATATCTATAGCACACTCCTCCAGCACCACAAATGTGCTGATTTCGCCCCCTCTTCTGTCAGCTTTCTTTTTTGCTGGTACTCAGCTCATAGAAACTGAACCAATGGTTTTTTCCTCCTTCAACATATTCATTTAGTGATGAAAATAAAATACATCTTTCTTATTAAACTTCAGTTTCCTGCTCACCACTTCCTGATCCCAATTTTACAAGACGGCTCCTTCATGCTGCGAAGACTCACATAAGGCAGTTCAAATTCGGCCAGTTTTTTCAGTACTAGAGGGATAAAGAGGGAGAAAAGATGACAATTTCTGAAACACCATTTAAAAATTGGGTTTTCATATACGTAAAACTCAAATGATTTATACAGAAGGTTGTGCACACTGTGCTAAATAGCATGCATTGATGCAAGCTTTTGTACAAATAGAAGCTGAATTCTGTGAATTTCCTGCTTCTTGACAGGGGGTTGGACTGGATGGACCACAACTGCTGTCTCCCAGTTTCCCACCAGACCAGCAAAGGAGACCAGCAAAGGAAAGTGACTGAAGCATTTACTGGGTGATGACTACGCAAAGCATTTCTTACCAGACAGTTCTCCATTGTTGTGATCTTGAATAAGAAATAAGCTGAAATACCCTATTAGTTCTCTTGAAAGCTCAATCTTGTAGGATACAACCTGGGGGGAAAGAGAAAAATACTTTTCCTTAAGTCTGTGAATAGAAGAGCACGCCAGACCACACCGACTTAAAAAATAACCCTTTTCAACACCATGGAATAGAAAAATTCAGCAAATCGATCTTTGTTGTTTGCTTGCAGAGACTGAGAGAAATAAAATCACCGAGGTGATACATTTTAATGGATTAATGGTAATTGCTGCAAATTTCACGTTTCACAGAACATGACGTAAGTATGAAAAGGCTCCTACATGGCTACTGTTGCTAATTCTGTGGATCACTCTGCCCCAGTTCTTTTCCCCAGGAGTTGCTGATATAACCCAAAAAGTCATTATTTACAACTCCAGGTTGTGTGTTTTTAATTGACTTTGCTATGGTACTATATTCCCTGATTGTTTTTATGGTATTGAAATTGTATTTTATGATCTTGGTACCAACTGTACACAGCCCTGAGTCATCTGTGGGCTGAGAAGGACGGTATATAAATATAGTAAATAAATAAATAAATAAATAAGCACTTTTTACAGAGGTATAGTCTTCCAAAAATATTTGTGGTTTCAGAACAAATAACTGTAGGTAAAGACTTCCCCTTGACATTAACTCTAGTCGTGTCCAACTCTGGGGGGTGGTGCTCATCTCCATTTCTAAGCCGAAGAGCTGGCGTTGTCCTTGGACACCTCCAAAGTCATGTGGCCGGCATGACTGCATGGAGCACCGTTAACTTCCCTCTGGAGCAGTACCTATTGATCTATTCACATTTGCATGTTTTTGAACTGCTAGGTTGGCAGAAGCAGGGGCTAATAGTGGGAGCTCCCTGGATTCAAACCAACCTTTTGGTCAGCAAATTCAGCAGCTCAGCAGTTTAACCTGCTTCGCCACCAGGGTATCCATAAATAACTATGTATTGATATTCAAAACAAATTATATGCTGCAATACATCTGCAAGGATGAAATCGAGTTAAAAAATAAAACAATTGCTAAATATAACTGTAAACAGTTCATATCTGATAGTGTTCAACTCATTTGTAAAAGAAGCACATCTTAGAAGAGTGCCTTTTTCAAACTAGGTAAAGAAAAAGGAGCCTTTGCCAAGTTTTCGAAATGAATTACCTCTAGGATTCTTTCAGCAGTATCTGAGGTCTGGACATCAAGTCTGAGATATCTCCCATCAGGAAGATAAACATCCAGAAAGGCTCGTTGGGTCTGGATTTTGAAGGTGTCCTGCAAGATATGAAAATACATTTATGGCCTTTGCTGATGATGGCAAGAATCTTCAATTTCTTTAGAAAAATATGCAGCAAACTGAAAAAGAATGGTGACTTGTAAACAAGATGGAAAATATTTACCATATGCCTTTAACTGAAGTATAAAGAAAATTAAAAGCAGTATAGTATGGAAAGACATACTATAAAGAAATATAACAAGGCTGCAGCATTATCTAATTGTCACCTTCATCATACTAATCCATTTAAGCTTTTTCACTGCTATGGCTTCATCCTGCAGAATCCTGGGATCTGTAGTTTGTCAAGAGACTAGAGGTAGAGAATTCTGATAGAGAACTATAGTAAAGGTAAAGGTTTAGCCTAGTCTAGTCGTGTCCGACTCTGGGGGGTGGTGCACATCTCCATTTCTAAGCCGAAGAGCCGTCGTTGTCCATAGACGCCTCATATGTCATGATGCCAGCATGACTGTATGAAGCGCCGTTACCTTCCTGCCGAAGTGGTACCAATTACTCTACTCACATTTGCATGTTTTCGAACTGCTAGGTTGGCAGAAGCTGGGGCTAACAGCGGGAGCTCGCCCCACTCCCCGAATTCAAACCACCAACTTTCTGGTCAGCAAGTTCTGCAGCTTAGCCATTTAACCATCTGCGCCATTGCGGTCCCTTTTAAATACATACAGAACATCAAATCAAAGGAATCTAGTCTTTATCCTCTATATTCCTTTGATTTCGCATTCTGTGAAAGTAGTATTGAAGTGCTGCAAAATATGCCCTGTGAAAGAGATGCCATTAATAAGAGTTCTGATCATTCAAAAAGGTGCTCCAATGACAATAGTATTTCCTGTGTAAGTGCTTATAAATAAATGGAAGGGAAGAAGCCTTTTTAGATAAAGCATTCCTCCTTTCTTTCACACAAGTGGATATGTCTCTTCTGAAGTACCATTTGCTGAGGCATATGACTGCATACAATGAAGAACAAAGCACATTTTCCCCTTTCAGAAGTATATAGAAATGTATTTAGATTTGATTAAAACCCATAGTTTGAAATAACCTTAATCAAATGGCAGCCTTACTATCCAGGCAGTTGTAAACTCCAGATAATTGGTCCTTTAGTGTTTCCCCTTATCATTAGGCTTTTTATCATTAGCAAAAGTCATTATGGAGATAACAGAGGCTCTCTGTACTCCCGTTTGCTACAGTCTTATATCAATTTAACTGCGAATAAATTCCACTGAACCCACTGAAATTTATTTCTGATTATACAGACAGTTAAACCACATTTGTCAAACTCAAGGCCCACGGACGAAACCCATTCCGAGATGACATTTTACGTGGCCCTCCAGATGCTGGACTACAACGCCTCTATTCCTCATCATTAGACATCATGATTGGAGCTGATGGAAGTTGTGATACAGTAATGTCTTAGATCAATGACATACAATGAGACACAAACACACAGGCAAAGGCTTCTCCTTTCGTTTCTGCCTTGGTTAAACAACACCTGGAATACTGTGTCCAATTTCTGGATACCGCAATTTAAGGGAGATGTTGACAAGCTGGAATGTGTCCAGAGAAGGGCGATTAAAATGATAGAGGGTCTGGAGAACAAGCCCTATGAGGAGCGGCTTAAAGAGCTGGGCATGTTTAGCCTGCAGAAGAGAAGGCTGAAAGGAGACATGATGGCCATGTATAAATATGTGAGGGGAAGTCATAGGGAGGAGGGAGTAAGCTGCCCTGGGGACTAGGATGTGGAACAATGGCTTCAAACTATAGGAAAGGAGATTCCACCTGAACATGAGGAAGAACTTCCTAACTGTGAGAGCTGTTCAGCAGTGGAACTCTCTGCCCTGGAGTGTCATGGAGACTCCTTCTTTGGAGGCCTTTAAACAGAGACTGGATGGCCATCTGTTGGGGGTGCTTTGAATGTGATTTTCCTGCTTCTTGGCAGGGGGTTGGACTGGATGGCCCACGAAGTCTCTTCCAACTCTATGATTCTATGTGTGACTTTGAAATGTCTAAGCTTTCCCCAACCTCAGAGTCTAAGTGCTGTTGGGCTGCAATTCTCATTATCCCCAGTCTGCGTGGTGGATAATCAAAAGTAATGAGTGTTGTTCAAAACTAAAGAGCAGTGACTATGATCTAAAAACATTAGTGTTGACCCTCTCTTTCCACAGATTCTCCACCCATGGATTCAACAACCCTTTGGAGGCAACCATAAGGCTGATGTGGTCTTCAATGAAAATAAGTTTGACATCCCTGAATTAAACCAATCAAACCCATTGACCCTAAGGAGGGGAGACCCATTGATTTTGAAATAGGGAAATTATTATTCTGGAAGGAGTTCTTCTTATAAAACTGTTGGTCATATTTTTGAGGAAACTACACGACCCAACTTGGTCCTCTTAAAATCTGCTCAGAAGGGTTAGAAACCTCTATTAAACATTTTTGGGGTGTTGTGGAAAACTGCAAAGAGGACAGAAAGAGATGGGGAGATGCAACAGCCAATATGCCATTGAAATTAGTAAAATTACTGAGTTCCTTAAATTTAAAATGACAGTGGGCTCACCTCTATGTTCAATCATTGAGTCTGTTTACAGTACAAAATTCAACACCAAAGAACTATGAGCATTATTTTCTGTTTGATAGTTACAAACCCATGTAATTGCATGCGTTTCCCTCCTAATCCTTCTTTATGTTTCTTTGAAACACTTAGTAAATAATCACTGACAATCAGAAGATTTGAAATAACCTTAATGCACTTAATCTCAATATATTTATTTCTCTCCTTTACATAAGTACTTTGTCTTTCACATCGTAAGTCTCCTTGTTTGATGCATATAAGTGACAGAAGTAGTTTTATTATTAAGGCTAAATGGGGCAGCGTGATTTGGGTTATAAGTAACATGAAAGGACCGCAAATTGCTAGTCACTTGATGTGTTATTGGAGCACCCGGTGGTGCAGTGGGTTAAACCGCTGAGCAGCTAAACTTGCTGATGGAAAGGTCACTGGTTCAAATCCAGGGAGTGGGGGGTGAGCTCCCGCTGTTAGCCCCAGCTTCTGCCAACCTAGCAGTTCAAAAACATGCAAATGTGAGGAGATTCCCACTCCAACGGGAAGGTAATGGTGCTCCATGTAGTCATGCCAGCCACATGACCTTGGAGATGTCTACAGACAACGCCAGCTCTTCGGCAGAAATGGAGATGAGCACCAATCCTCAGAGTTGGACACGACTGGACTTAATGTCAGGGGAAAGCCTTTACCTTTAATTAATGTGTTATATTTTTACTATTGATGTGGGTGAATGATCCCAACTGGACTGTATGTTTCAACCCAACAGTGCCCTGGAGCATTTGGAAGCTCCTACCAGCCCTAGTCACCATAAAGAGGAATACTAGTGATTGCAGTCCAATGCACTATGGAAGGCCAAACTTTTCTTATTTATATCTAGGTATACTAAAATTCCCTTAACAGTTTACCAATTATTACTCATCTACCCATCATATCCTTCTTTCCGATCTAAAGTGCATCCATAATGCTGGAAGCTCTGCAGCTCAGTTCCCAGGTCTGCTCAATGAATGACCTTACTGAAACAGAAAGTAATGGATTTCTGGCTGTCAGTTTCAGGTGAGAGAAAACACCATGAGAGTTTGTTTTTTTTTTAAGGAAAGGGAACCTAACTGCTGAAATGCATCTATTATGCACAAGATAAGTTCAAAAAAAGTTGTGAAAAGCCTGTCCAAATGACACAATTCCCTCAGGGCCATTAGGATGTGGAGGTTGGTGGTGTGCCCTGCCCGCAACCCTGGTAAAAGTTTAATTCTTGCTAAAAATATTAAGAAAAATATAGGAAATGGAGGTCCTTTATGTTGCCTCCTACTCGTACAGTGCTTATGAGTTAGGGGGTCTTTCCAGATGGTATACATTGTCGTCTCTATGAATGAGAGGCTTCTCAAGTCATCCTATCATCAACAGCTCTGCTCAGGTCTTACAGATTCAGGGCCATGGCTTCATTTCCATCTCTAACGCAGTCTTCCTCTTTCCTTATAGCCTTCTATCTTACCAAGTAGTGTTGACTTTTTCTAGTGAGCCAAGTCTTTCCATGGCCTTCTGGTGGTGCAGCAGGTTAAACTGCTGAGCTGCTGAACTTGCTGACCAAAAGGTCGGCGGTTTGAACCTGGGGGGCAGGGTGAGCTCCTGCTGTTAGCCCCAGCTTCTGCCAACCGAATAGTTCAAAAGTATGCACATGTGAGTAGATCGATAGGTACCGCTTCTGTGGGAAGGAAACGGTGCTCCGTGCAGTCAGGTTGGCCACATGACTTTGGAGGTGTCTATGGACAACACCAACTAGGACATCTAGAAAAGGCAGTTTCCCTTCATTTTCTTTTTTTCATGGTGAATTGGATGTTTGGGTGGATGCTGAACTTGAGGTGGTGCAGGAACTTGTTTAGTTCTTCTTCTCCATGGCTCCAAATGGTAAAGGTGACATCCACAAATCTGAACCATATAGTGGGCTTTTTGTTGCTGTTTCCAGGGCTTGTTTTTCAAAATGTTCCATGCAGAAATTTGCTATGACTGGGCTGAGAGGGCTCCCCATAGCTACTCCCCAAAACACAACTTTCAAAAGAAGAAACAGCTTCAGGATTATATCATGGCATCAAAGAGAGGGAAACCCTTTTTTCACAAAAGTTTGGCAGCTTTTTAAATGGGGAGTGGGTGGGGTTCTGAAATACTCTTGAGTGAAAGAACAAAACGTATTCAGCATCCATTGAGCTTCATAGTCTGTTTTTATCGTTTGTGCCATCCAGGAATTAAAGACAAGTCTGCCATGATATAGCAGTAGTCCTTTCAAACAGAAGGAAATGTTTCTTTGGATCAAAAAGTATGAAGTGAGCCCTGTCTACATATTTCCTCTCAATTAGACCAAAATTTCAATGTTAGGAGGAAGCTGGTGACAGAATGGGAGTGCATTTCAAGAAGAAAGCACATGAGTTCATACGA